AAACGAAGAAGGCGGAAGAGACGGGGGGAAGGCAGGAACCGGCGCTCCCGATTCCCGCCGCGCGCACAGGCTTGCATACAATTAACTCGGAAAACATAAGTTCTCCACCGTTCTTCCCCCGAGGGGGGAACGCGGCTCTCGTCCGACGTTCCTCGGACTCGGGAGCCCGGTGAGAGAGAAAGAGAGAGAGAGAGGAAGCCGTCGGCGAATTTTCGACGCCGTGCTTCGATCGGCGCGATTAAACCTGGAGCCAAAATCGCGTTACGTGAAGCCCGTTTTAGACGATCTATAATCCGCGACGGAATTCGGGGCAGAATTCTATTTGCTAGAAATTTGAAGAATCTGAATTTACAAATGCGCGCTCACACATACACACACACACACACACCCGGCCGCGCCGGTATCTATAAATCTTTGAATGTTGTTCGTATCGCGGCGCGTTGCGTAAAATTACAGCTAGCATTCTGTTGCGAATTCCATCGCGAATTATACAGCTCGTCTACACACGGTGTAGCGTCATATGTGTATATGTATGTATGTGCCGCTTGAATCCGCTATTTTTGACGATGCGACGTAGTCGCGTTAAATCAAATAACCGACTATACGCCCCCCTCTCCCCCCCCTTCCATGACCATCGGTATACCAGATGCGTTATAGGGTGAGAGGGGGAAGGGGGGATCGGGTTAAATCCAGGTGGGCGAAACTTTGCACGCTCGCCGATGCACCGCGGCGAACACTTTTAATACGTTTAGCGCGGCCGGGCGCGCAACTCTCGTCGTATAAACATATTCTCCGGTGTATATACTATCCCGCCCTCTCTCTCTCTCTCTCTCTTCCTCACTCTATCTCTCTTTCTCGCGCGCGCGCGCGTCATTACCCGCGGAAACGAAACTTTCCGATTCCCACGCCCAAGGGAGCGGGCGAATGGGCGGCCTTTAAGCGCCTGCACCGTTAATTACTGGCCATCATTAATACAGCCGCTGCCGCTGGTGGCCCCGACTCAACGCGGGAGACCGGCATTAAACTTCGGGCCGAAGATATCGGCCCGAGATCTCGCTTTCTCGACCTCCCCCCCCCCCCCCCCTCCTCCCCCCTTCTCCGATCCTCTTAATAATTACGCGCCACGGCGGACAGCGATCGTGCCAATAAGTAAGCCGGTTGGCCCATCTTAATTCGGCTATTACGACGTCTACAAGCAAGTTCTTACTCCCCCTTCCCCCTCCTCCGCTAAGTTGTCCCCAAAACACCGACGGAGACGATGGGGGAACAAGCGAGTCGCGTACGGGGCGATGGGAGAGGGGGAGGGGGGAGTTTAAAGTATTAAAGTTTAATAATTTTGTTGGCGCTGCGAAAACACCGATATACCGATCGTCGGGCGCGCGCACTCTACTTGCCAACAAAAACCGATATATCGGCTTTTGGGTATTACGAGGGGGTTAATAGTTCGTCCCGTTGGCCGGGAAGTCACGGCTAGCCCTGCAAAAGCTACGAGCACGCGAGTCACCAGCGAGTCACCTCGGCACAGAGAGAGAGAGAGAGAGAGAGAGAAAGCGCGCGCGGCGTACTTTTGTCTTGGCCATTTCTTTTTGGCATTCCGCTCGCTCGGTGGTACGGATTTGCCCGACCCGAAAGGCTAAAAGGATATATTCCGGCCCGAGCGTTCGTGGCGAAAAACGTGGGATCTATTTCCACGTCTCGGCAAATTCAGGCTCATCATCCCCACAGTCTCCTTCGGTGCTGGGAGTCTTGGGATTTTTATCAGGATTCCAAAATAGGTGTCCGAAAAAAAAGCGCTCACGCATGATGTGTATTATCTATCTATATAAATATTGAATGGTTTTTTTTTTTAATGTCCTGTATATGTTGTGTCAATGTTGTAGTGGCGACCACGGGAAACTCTCCAATATTATATGATACCACCGTGTCTCTTATTTCAGTTGCATATAAAGTATAATTGATCGCATTTATTTTAAATTGTTCGTACGTAATCAACGAAAAGCTGATGAAACGAGATGAAAGATAACGAAATAAATTTGCAAACACTGTGTTCTTTTAAACAAAACGGAGTTTTTAAATCTGTTTTAGCGGGAAGCCATTTTATTACCGTCGTTTCTCTTCGACCCATTATGCAGTCTCGCTGTAGTTGTAGAATCGATTTGATAACACTTAAAAAAATATAATCGTCGAGTTGTTAATTTTTTTTTAATATTATAGACGAAATTCTTGTTGAAAATGTAAAGGCCACATACCGCCTTCTCCTCTGCGTGCGTTTCAAATTACATTTACATATTATATCTTTAGCATTTTAATTATTAGTTAGGATCTTACATAATCAATGAAAGCCAATCTGACAGAATCGATATTAGTCAGTGTTAATATTTAAACGGTTAAGGAGGAAATTAATAAATTAACCGGGAGAATTTGTAGATTCTAAAATGCCCGTAGGATTTGCCTGCCATTGACTTTCACACGACGACACGAGGACTTTCTCCACGACCGAGGAGATCGTCGACAATATATTTCGATTCCTTATTCAATTTCGAATAAATGAGTGAAAAAAAAAGTTGGTAACTCGCAATAGGTAAATAACAACGTTCATTTGTTTACATCGACGCGCAGCGGCGCGAACTGGACGCGGCGCGCTGTTAGTAAATCATTTGCGTGTATTTTTTGATGAAAATGGGAAAATTTGGATATTATTTTATTATCTTATTAAAATAAAACATAGTTCTACGTAGCATGTAATTTGTTTAAACAAATACATAAAAGTTATAAACGATTAGAAATTACATGTACTTCTCAATCAGTTACGACAATAATTTTTATGAGTCAGTCGCTCTCTTCCGAATAATGATAGACAATCTTTTAGAGAAAATCGAATTTTCAACAACTTGACTTTCGGAATCGAAAGTAGAATCGATTTATTAAAAAATCGAACTAAGAGAATCGATTTCCCAAAAATCGCATGCATTGAGCGTTTAAACATGTTTTTTTTCTCTTTCATAAGTATATCTAAATTTCAAGCTACTAAATTTCAAGTTAATTGGTCGTACTTGCGCAAGAGAATAATTCGACCCACATAAAGTATAATATGTTTTAAGAAAAGTGAAAATAAACATTTGATATATTATTTAAGGCTCTTAATTCGTCGCTGCTGAACTCTCTGTTTGATGACGTCAAAAGCGAAAAAGCGCTTGTCAAGTCTTCTTGCGTTATACGTTCAAATAAATACCTGAAAATTGGCGATCGATTCAGCACACTTGTGAAAACGTCTGAGTGCTTTCCATCAATCTGATCAATCAATCAGTAACCGTGAAATTAACGTTACAAAAATCATTAGGAAAGATAGGTTAAAAACGCGAGTTGCATGTTACATTAATTTTCGGCCATTCATTGGTTGAGGTTAAAGGGAAGCGCCCGAATATTTTTACAAGTGTGCCAGATCGATCACGAGTATAGTTTTGTGCGTATATTCTCCCACCTTTTATTCTATGTACTATTTTGTTACAATAAATATATGTAAAATGAGACAATTTCCTTCTTTATGAGAAAATTATTTTTCGTTTCAAATTTTTTTTATTTAAGATAAAGATACATATTCGTTGAAAAGTCTAACAATTGCACTCATTAATCGAAACATTAGTTTCCATGGAGCCTGACGATGATAAAATTTGTTTTTGGATGCAATAAAATTCATTAAATTGATTAAATTTGAAGAAATCCTTTCCCCAGTATATTCAGTTTCACCTGCATACCATGGGAACCAAGAAAGATTTGGGACACCCTGTAGACAGTACTTCCCTTCTCACCTCATTTCTGTCTCATTTCCTCCCGCAGCACCTGGCATTTCAGCGTGCATAGAATTCAATGATTCAAGCACGCAGGAGGATTGATTGAAAAAATAACGATTTTCTGGAAATCGAATCGAGACGACCCCGTCGCCGCTTCCGAGGTGCAGATTTGTACGCGGAAGAGATGCACCGGCCGATTCGCCTCGACGTTGGCGCGCTGCGTCGGTAGTTTCCAATAGTCGCGCGAAACGAGCGGGCGGAAATTGGCAAACGATTAAGTCCGAGCCGTTTAGGAAAGCGCGAAAGGAAATTCGATCGGCCAGGAAGCGCGTGTATCCTGGAGCGCCACGACACGACGGTGGTAACCGAGTGCTGCAGGTCCTCCGATAAGCATCGTTATACAGCTGCGACGACTGCACCAATCGAGAGCCGTTTCTCCGAACGCGGAATACCGAGGCGGCGGAGATCGCCTTAGTTACGTCCGGTGTGTGTTACGTGCGCGCTCGCGAATTAGCAACGGTAACTTATCTTTGCAACCGGGGGCACAAGCTCTGGCGAAACTTTCCCCGATCGTCGCCCTTTGACGGAAGAGGAAATCGCGATAACACGCCCGGCTCATCGCCGACCGGCTACTTCTCAGAGAGGGCAAGACTGAAGAAGAAACGCACCGCCGATGAAATTACGAATGTCCGTATATTTGACCTTAGCAATATAGCGTATGAATAGTAATAATAATAATAATAATAAAAATAATGATCGCCGTAGTGTCATAATACACACATCGCGCGCCTGACGACTCGTGAAACGCGCNGGGGGGGGGGGGGATATAAGAATCGTAATAATAATACAATCGATCGCTTCTTCTGTGGCAATAATAATCGTCGTTATTATCACTTGTTGAAAAAATACTTATATCGTGTACCACCATTATGTGTAAGAACGAAAGAAAGAAACGTTCATCATCACTACCATCTTTGGGAAACGACGGTACTGGAGAAAGGAATACGTAGGGGAGCGAAAATGTGCCCGGTATACGGAAACTCTCTCTCTCTTTCTCTCTCGTCATCGAGAGGAGGGGAGAAGAAGTGACGAGTGAAAAAGGAAAGGGGGGAAAAAGATGTGGTCTCCTCGTATAAAATTAGTTCGCAGGTCTAGAGGTTACGAGATAATTCATAATGTTTACCGTTACAGTGTTTTTTTTTTCTTTTCTTTTTATGCAAATTCCTGTTAATCGTAAATAAGCGCCCGGAGGTGCGCTATTTTTTGCCAGAAAACACTTGTCGCTCACTAAACGTTCTCTCTCACTAATTCTCTCTCTCTCTCTCTCTCTCTCTCTCTCTCTCTCTCTCTCTCATTCTCGTTCTCTCTATGCACTCACTCTCCCCCTCTTTCGTTCAATTTGTCTCACTCGTTCTCCGACCTCGCGCGGATAAAAAGCTTTTTCTCCTCGTTTTAAAAAGCAGTCTTTCGTTGCACTACGCGGAGCCTCCGTCCCTTCCTGTGCGCCTCCTCGTTTAATAACGGTATATAAAAAACGTATCGCGCCGCGCGTGCGAACGTGATCTACCGATATCTACGCTACCAACTGACGAGCCAGCACACCTCTCAGTGGTGCGGATTCAAGATTCCAGACGATTGTGGGACAAACGTTACACACGACTCCGTCTCCGGCGGCGATCGCGGCAACCATGGCACAGCGCGCCGTGAAATCGCTGTCGACGAGGCATCAGAAGTTTTATCATCCCCCGCGTGTTTCCCGTGGCACGTCGTGTATTTATTTATTTATTTACAAATAAATAAATGAGTGTGTACAATCTCGCTCGCGCTTTCGTCCTCGATCGGTCAACGAAAAACCACTCCCCCCCCCTCTCTCTCTCTCTTTTTTTCTCTTCCATCCGGTGTTTTTTACGTCTCTAATCTAATCAACGTGCCGCCAAATAAGGCGCCGTGTAGAACGTATATTCGCGATTTGTTAGTTCGCTTCGCGTTAAATCGCGTTTATCGTAAAAAAAAAAGTCGATCGCTTCGGCGCGATCGAAAGCGCGCCACGAGAGCGAAGATATGTCGACCTACACTGCCGCTGAACACACACACACGCGAAGAAAAAGCCGGAGAAAAGAAGACATCGTCGGGATATATATATATAAATATATATATCGCTTACCGCAAATCCGCTCTATATCCTCGTTACCGGCGCCAATTGTCTTATTCTCGGCCGAATCTTCGAAGTTTGAGAACGAGTAATCGCGATTAGTTCGTCTCTTAATTGGTTGACTTTTAATTCTCCCGTCGCGCTTGGCTCCCGTCACGTGTCTCACGTTGGTAACGTTAATTAAATGTACTCCGCTGTCTCTCTCTATCTCTCTTTCTCTTTCCCGCGACCCGCTATCGGTGAGACACTCCTGGCTGTAACATATTACGTATAATAACGCTAATTGCGTTTACGTCCAATAATTCTGATATCGAACAACGTGAACAAAGAGTTAACTTATAATTTACACTCTCCTTCTCTCTACATTTTTCTCGTAGCTCGTTTCTGCCCTTCATCGTTATTAACGTCATAAGCCCGCTCGAGGATAATCCAACATCGATAAAATCGCGACGACAATTATTAAGGATTCCCTTTCAACCGCGGAGTATCTTTAAGATTATGAGATCAGATCGTAATAACGCTTCGAGGCGGAACTGGGAGCGGCGCGCGAAGGAACGAGCAGGTAAACGGAAGGGCCGGGACGCTCCTCACTTAATAGTGCGCGTAGTCTCGCTAAGTTACAAATTTCTTACAAAAAGCCGAAGACTATCGTCGTCGTCGTCGTCGTCTCGCTCACGTTGCTCGTCACACACATCATGACGAAACTATGGACGCGTGCTTCGCGCGTGGATTTATCATTTCTTCTTCTTCTGTTTTCCTTTTACGTTAATACAGGGACGCGTGTATCAAACGTAAGTTTCGAAACTCTGTTTTCACTCGAAGATACCGTGGAGAAACAGAAACTCGGCTACTTGTAGTCTCGTCACATCGTGCGCGTCACGAAAAGTCCCTACGGTATATATAATTAATATCTAATCTCGTTTTTTCTCCTCCTTTTGTAAAAATGCGTCTCGTCCGCGATGCCTCTCTCTCTCTCTCTCTCTCTCTCTCTCTCTCTCTCTCTCTCTCTCCCTCTCTCTCTCTCTCTCTTTCTCTCTACCGTTTTCTAACGTCGACTCGCATAGTCGTCGTCGTCGTCGTCGTAGTTTTCGTTTTCGCACTTGTCCGCGCGAGCCTCGCGGCGGAAAGAATCCCCCACCTGCTATAACTATACAATTAATTAACATTAGTAATTACTCTCGCTTAATACTAATTTTTATTATGATATCGCGTCGTGCGTCACGATGTGTCGTCGTCGTCGTTTCCGTGTTATCGGCGGTGCCTCGGCGGCGTTTGTCGCGTGACACGTGCGTTTGCCTCGCGACGTCTCCCCCTTTTTCATTCTCACTAAGGTCACCGCTACTCGCGCGTTTACACCGCTGCTAACGCGGTGGAACGCCTTTCCTCTCACTGAAAAAATTAACAAACTACGTCGCCGAGAAAGAATCACAAGCGCGAACACGGCACACGCGAGGCTCTTAGTTCCTTCATGCTTCGTGATCCCCTTCGACGATACCACGATTCGATTATTTCCGAGCGTCTCCTTGCCTTGCTTGAAGCAAGAAAAGTCTCTCACTCTCTCCCTCCCTCTCTCTCTCTCTCTCTCTCTCTCTCTCTCTCTCTCTCTCTCTCTCTCGTTCTGTTTCGTTCTGTCGGAAGTTTGTCTCTCGAAACAGACAGACCAATCCGTCGAATATTGCACGAGTTTCCTCACACTGAAAATAGTATCGTTCGCACGATATGATCGACCGTCTCTCTCTCTCTCTCTCTCTCTCTGCGTCACTGGTAATTCGTCAGCGCTGTCCCCAGTTCTCTTACGTCTACTACACACCTCCTACTCTCTCGCATACTAGAAAGATCAGCACAAATGAAGTTCATGCTTTATTACGTCGTTCTAAATTATATTCACCGTATAAAACACTCTTATGTCATTATCTAATTCGATCAGACGCAGTAAAATACACTTTTTTTTGTTCCGTCGTGTTAACATTAAAGTTCCTTCGAGAATTAAGAGTTTACGTGTACATATGCCAAACAAGTACAAGACTTATCGGTAGAGTGCGTGTGTGTTGTGTGTGTGTGTGTGTGTGTGTGTGTGTGTGTGTGTGTTCGTGTGTGTGTGTGGTAATTAAAGCGGTAGGTTTATATTAAAAAATGAAAAGAGAGAGAGAAATAATACATATATAGTAGGGAATACTTTTGTAATACGATTTACCAGCGTGCAAATGTAACTCTCGCCGTGGGCACTTCTCTCGCGAGAGGAAAAAGATCCTCTNTCTCTCTCTCTCTCTCTCTCTCTCTCTCTCTCTCTCTCTCTCTCTCTCTCTCCCTCTGCGTTCGTTTTCAGCACGTTTAGGCCGCGCCGCGCAGTCCGCAGGGCGAGCAAGTGAGAAAACAGAGGAATCTCTTGACGAGTAGATTCACGAACATTAACGTCCCGGGCGCGCTTCGCAGCGGAGGCAGCCGTGAGTACCGCTGGAACCTGTCGTCGTACTCTTCGTCCTCCTCGTAGTCGTAATTGTACGAAAGATTACGCGAATAATGATAACGATTCAGACGATATTGATGCTGCTGCTGCTGATGATAATGATACTGCTGCTGCTGGTGATATTGATAAAGATGTTGGCTACGGTGTACGCACTTCCTGGTCTCCAACAAGGCGCTGGATCCTGGCAGTGGAGGGCGGGTCGTGAGCGTGCGCGCTGACGCTGTGTATCCCGAAACGCGTGGAGAATTGTGATGCGACGACGGTTGTGTCCGCGTAGGTAATCGTGGTGGGGCCAGACTCGGCCTCATTCGGGATCACCAGTTGGCCATGCCCGGTTTGTTCAGGGTCATGAAGTAAATCTGGCACGAACTACCGCCCTTCGCCGACGAGAAGAATACCTGGGAGAAGCGCGGGATGCGTTAGGAACGCGACCCTTCCCCAAGTGTCGTTTATCTTACGCGACAATATAAAGGCCGTTCCACAATAGCGTAAACGTAAGCGTATGGTTGTGGGTATAATGGTAGCAGTTGAATGATGTACAACAGATTAAAAGATCTACAACGGTGTGAAGATACATCGTGGCTTGATTACGGCAACCAATCAGAATTAGCAGTTGTCTTCACGCTCGTTTCCGTTGTATCGAAAAGAACGATAGTGGCATGAACGGATGAATAACGGCATTCTGATTGGTTGGTTCTTACATCTTACGCCGTTGCGGTGTTGAAAGATGGTTGAACTTCAACAACCTTTCACAATACAACCACATTCGACTACGTGTTTGTCCTACTGTAGAACGGCCTTTAGAGGAGCAATCGCGTTCAAAAGGGAGCGGGGGTGCGCGATTGTAACGCGGGGTGATGACGATTGATTGAACGATGCGAGTCATACCTTATCGTTACGTTCGCAGAGGAACTTGAGCCGTTGAGCCTTCTTGTGCATGAAGACACCGTCGAGGTGGCCGCTCTCCACGCTTCTGATCTCGATCGCCTTGTTACCCCAGCCCATGATCTGTCCTGTACCGATATATGCGACGCTCGTGGGCATTTCGCCCCATTGAAGGACCATCGTCTTCGAGACCCTGCCGTATGTATTCACGTAGACACCCTCGTTGTCGTAACAGAGCAGCAACTGCATACCGTTGCTGTTTGGTAGCGCCACTATACAGTGCGGGCAAATGGGGCCTTGAGTCTGAAAAGTCGCGGAAAGTGCGAGAGAGAGAGAGAGAGAGAGAGAGAGAGAGAGAGAGAGAACGTGTTAATGTGAAATAATACAAACATCTTTCTAGAAATGATAAATCTTTATCGATACACTCAGTCAGGATATGCTCTTCTAATCTCGGTAATGAGATCTTTCATCCTATAGTTTACTAATTAAACCGATACTCTCTAATTGCACAGCATTTTGTTCCACTCCCCAGAATTAGTCCCACCAACAGCTTCGGCATTTCAAATCTCCGAGCCGAGTTCAAAACTCCAAATAATTCGACCTCGAAACTTCGGAACTTCGTCGTCGAATATCGAATTATACCGGAGTTTCAAAGCTCCGAGAATATGTCGAGTAGCTTTACGTGGAATAGTTCGAAGGGGAGGAGGAAAGGGAAGGGGGGGATACGAGCGGGAATATAATCTTTTCAACTTACATGCTTCGGTAGATATATGTCGTAAACCGTTGCCGAGTCCAAGTCGACCGCATGAAAGCCATCTGCGCTACCGTAGATCACCTTCAGCCTCGTGCCCTCCTCGACTGTGAGATCGACCAGGAGCGGTCTGTGCGCGAGCTCGCCGAAGGACTTGAAAGCCATGAATTTGTGATACGGCTTCGGCGCCCACGCGTAAATCTCGATGGAATCCTTCAGCGCGATCACGAGGAACTTTATCCTCTCGTATTTCACTATCTTAAAATGCACAGCGCCCTGCAGATCGCCCACGTTAATCCAGCCGTTGCGCCGTTCGACTTGCTGCGAATATAAAAGAACGATATAAAGTTCGGATAAAGTAAGGAGATCAGCGGGAGATAAACGCTCGTTCAAAGAGAGAGAAAGAGAGAGAGAGCTTTTATTGCGAAGGCACAACTTACGTCACTGTGACCGTCCGTGCGCAGGATCTTGCTCTTCAGCCAGGAAAGATAATAGACGCGCACCCGGTTCTTCTTGCCGCTGATCGTCACCAGAATGTTCTGACCCTCGAGCACCTCCATCTGTTGGAAACGTCTTCTGCTGATCAACTGGTAAACCTTGCCCTGTCCGCTCCTGTCCAACAGCATCAAACCGTTCTCGGTGCCGATTAACAGGTTGACTCCTGCAAATGGGACAATGCCAGTAAGTACCAGGGGCAAGGGTGCTTGTGCGTGTTTTATTCGTTAAGGAGGTTTTGTTGTAACAATCATTTTGTTTCAACACTTAAAATTTCAATAGTGAAATCAATTTACAGAAACGTTATTCTGCTTGGTAAATATTAAATGAATAAACCGGCCGTCTCGCATGCTACCTGAAAATACGACACACTAAGGCCTTACACGACCTCCACAACAGCTTTCAACTCACCCCATAACGCGGCACATAGGATCTCGCTGTTGAAGCGCTTCTTGTACTTGCGTATCTCGGGCGTATCCGACGCTAAGTCGTGACTGGTGGGGGTCACGTTGACGTTCACGTGGGACTCTCTCCTCGCCGGTCCGGCTCCAAATCCGAACGTGAGGAAGGACCTCTGCTTCTGTTGGAGCGCAAACGGGGGAGGTGACTTAACCGCTTGGCGATACTGCAACAGAGACGACTTTGCCGTTTTGAGGGACTCCAGCGAGGAGCGTCGGTATACGTCGCTCGTCAAGCTCCAGGAATGAAAGATCTAAACTACTCCGTAAACGCAGAGAGAGTGAAGGGGAAAAAAAACTGCACTAGCAAGAGAGTCCATCATCCTCAATCTCGAATAATCGCACAAACACAATCCACAAATGGTGAGATGTACAGAGAGAGACGCGCGAGGTTTTTTTAAACAGAGCGAGAAAACAACGCATGCACAGAGGATAAATAAAGGAGAAAAGAAAACAAAAAAGAAACGAGGAAGAAGAAAAACCAAGAGAGAGAGAGAGAGAGAGAAAAAAAAAGGAAGACAAATCACACAGCCGAGTCAAATATGCGCCGCTACATCTACATTGCAGCATTGTTGTTCCGCAGAAACAAGTGCACCTCAATCGCAAATTAAAGGAAGGAAGCTGTACGTCACGCGGAGTGTGACGCGTATGTATGAGTATAACGTGAAGGTGAAGGAGGAGTGCACAGACATTCTCACATGAAACCCATGTACAGTCGAGGGGGATGATGCGTGGACGTTAAGAGAGCGAGAGGATCAAGCAAATCTCAAACCAACCAACCAAAGTGAGCGGTTTAATGGCGGCATATCCGCACGCGCGCACACACACATGACTACGTTAGCTTGTTATAAGACTGTGTCTTTCGTTATTCCCGAGCACGCGCTCGACGGGATTAAGAGAAAACGTTCGCGTCACGGAAACGGGGGGAGGGTGAGAGATCCGCGCGCTCGTCTCCCGAGCGCGTGTGATCCACCAGCGAGAAACAAAAACCCAGAGGACAGAAGAGGGGACAGAAGAAGGAAGAGAGAGATGTATATATAATGTATATGTGAGAGCAACGGAAAGCAACACGGTGGTCGGCGTGTCGGCGTGTTAGAGAGAGATTTATCTCGGGCGCGAGACACCAAGGAGAGAATCAAGAGTTCTTTAAAAGACCCCACAGAAACCAGCAACAGAAAGAGGAGGAGATATGTATATATATATGTATGTATAAAAACGACCTGGCGCGTACACAAACTGGCATTCAACTCGCGGTGCATATATATATATATATATATAATTAACGAAAAGAAGGGGGGGATCAAACACGATCGAGAGAGAGCAAAGGTATATAATAAAAACACGAGGGTCTGTACCTCCGGTCTCCTCCCCTCGCGCCCGCGAACGCGCGCGCGAGCCCGAAGAGGGAGGCGGAGGGGGAGTGGCGGTAAACAACGGTTGAGAAATCGTAAATGGATGAATAGAGAGAATACTTACATTGCAATTAGTATTGGGATTGGAATGGTGAGTAGAGGGCCCTGCCCATCGGGTTAGAGCTCCCGCGTGTCCCACAACACACAACATAATCCTGAATTAGTCACGCTGGACAACCGTACAATTGCCGACGCTTACGGGGTTCCCCACGTGAAACGGAGACGACGCTAGACGACGCCCGCACGATCTATCTCTCTGTCATCAATAATCTCTCTTACACACGCGACACGGTCCGTAGACTCAGCCTAAGGGGGGATTCTACGTTCTAGGCCACCCCTAGGATTCGAGCAAGGTTCGAGCAACACGTTCAAATTAACTGGCTGGCTCACGGAAGTGGATCCCGATCGCCGGTGGTTCTCGCGTCTCCTCCGGTTGCACGTGGATTACCGATAAACTCGCGAGATATACAGGTCTGTGCTCTCGCGCGCAGTCCGTGCGTTCTGTATTCGTCGTCGTCGTCTGCGACGACGCGACCGGACGTTTCTCACCTCTGGCATCACGACGCACCCCGACGCGTGTCTTAAATCAGGGAGAAAAACGAAGAAGAACCGTGCGACGCTCACTGTGCGTGCGTGTGTGTGTAAGTGTGCAACGCGAGCCGATGGGGGAGCACGGGAATACATTTAAAAATAAAAGACAAAATATCGGCCATACGCACGTGAGGTGTGCTGCCCTTGTCGGGTGTAAGGTAAAAAAAAAAAAGTTACAGTGCGCGTGTGTGTAGGTAAGTGTGACGTTCGCGCGACGAGAGTTGCGATATGTATGAGATCGCACCGTCGAGACTCCTTTGACCCGACGTAAAACTGAAAGGCTCGAAGGTTAAGGGTCGAAGTGACGCGCACGCAGAACAAAATAGCTCTATCTCCGTTCTAGACTAGTGGTTTAACATTCATCCTTCCTTCTTTCCTTCCTTCCTCTCTCTCTCTCTCTCTCTGTCCTTCCAAATTTCTCGTTCACCAACAGCGAGGATAACGACCACACTTCGGAGATCCTCGAACTGGCTGTCTCTAAGAACATACACGGTTTCCTACGCTTCCGCTAAAATATCGAGGTACGCACCTCCTACCGCTAATGCCGCGCGAATGCGTCGAAAGGGCATCTCTTCGAGCACGACTAACTGCGCACACGATAATTCTTTGCTTATGCACAAAGGAAAAAAAAATATATGTATATGAAGAAAAATGAGAGAGAGAACGTAAACAAAAATCGATACCGTGTACAATGTATCTGAACCAGTAGCTAAAGTTCAAAACGAAGTAAGAATGCAACCAAGAGAAAACGAGACAACAGATCGATACATGTGTGTATATATATATAAATATATATATATAGTCAACAAAATGCACTTTATAGACTAATCACGGACAATGAACAAGACATCGACACAAAGCATAAGCCGCCCCCTGTGTAAACCCTCAAACTTAAGCATGTACATGGATATGTATATGTAAATACATATAGATATATCGGTAAGACTTTAGTAAGCTATCCACCGTCGATTTTGATGAAATTTTACAGGTACGCAGTATAAACTAAATGCAATCGAAGCCGCAAGTGCGAAGTTGCGAAAATGCCTGGTATATCGAAATCTTGCGGAAATGTCTGGCCTCATATCGAAATCTTGAAAAACGTTAATTAAGCCGAATAATTAAAATTTGAATTTCTCGGGAACCAGGCGTTCCCGCGACTTCGCACTGCCGTAGCTTCGATTATATTTCGTACAAGTGCCATGTATCTGCAAGATTTCATCAAAATTAGAGGTGAGTAGCATGCTAAAGTTAAGCCTAGATATTTCTCTCCTATTATATTATACATGAATCGCACACGGTCGATCCGACACACAGCCGAGTGCTACGTGTCGAGGCGTCGGGAATGAGCTCGCGTGTTACGGTGTCATTACTCTGTCGTTGCCACTAGCCTCCTCGAGCCCGACGACAGAAGTAAAGCGACATCATCATACTGAATGAGGTTTGCGGGTGAACACAGTACCACACGCGCTACGTACCTATTTTACGACGTACGATGCTCAGAGATAATCTGACGATTATAAAAATATACACAATAATAGAGAGACCACGTTCTCGACCCAATCAAAAAGCATTACTTCTCGGATACAGTCCGATATAAGACGATCAAAAAAAAAAAAAGAAAGGCATTCTCATTACTACTGAACGAAACGATATAATCATTCAGAGTCTTCGTCGCGATCATATTGTGTAAACGTAAACGACGTTCGCACGTCACATCGCTCACAAGACTCACGCCTCGACGATTAAACATATACGTCTTTGTAAAGAGTAGATAGATAAATAAATAAATGAATAAAGAGAGGTAATGGGAAAGTGCCAAGTGTGCGCGCATTCGCTCGCTTACGCCGCTTAAGCTCGTTGCAGCGCGTTGAGGAGGTTGTAAGATTCAGTGTTATATTTCCGGTGGAGCATCAAGAGGACCACTCATAAATTTAGTATTTGTCAAGCAAAATTACGTTCTTACACGTTATTATCTGAGTAATAAATATTAATTAAAAATGAAGTTGACTTGTACATACATACAAAATATATATACAAAATATTACAATTTCAAAAATATTATTTTTTTACTTTTCTGATTCATGCTACATTTGTGCATCAGTTGATCTAATAATACAAGTATTTAAATATCTGCATATACATATATATTTTTCTTAGTATTACTACTACGATAAGTACAAGATACGTTACGATAAAGTATTTAAGTAAATACAAGATTACGTTACGATAAAATATTTTCGAAACAAAAATGGCCAATAATTTTGAAATTTGAACATAATCTCTGCATATTAGCCTTTAATATCACAGTAGTTTTCCACCAAAATTTTATTTTTTAGTTTAGAAGATATTAAAGAAATAATTAAAAATAGCTGATCTCGAGGAGATCCATAGAAAGTGTCAACTTTAGTCGCAAATAACTCCTGAATGATCAGTTGTTTTTTTTTCTAATTGCACGAGCAAGTTGAATAATACTTCAATGTATACGCAGTGCAAATGTCATCGAATTCTATCAGACTCATTTCACCTGTCAACCTCCTTTAAACTGACATCGAGAGACGCGTCAGATTTTCTTGAGCGTCAGAATTCCGTGGAGTGTAACGCATTAACGTCAAGCAGCTCACGGGCGTTTATTCTCATTCATCCCGTGCCAAGAGACAACGAGGCGTACACGAGTGCGCGCACATACTGACAATGTAAGAAAAAGAGAATGATACATATAAACGGACGAATGAATCTGACCTCCTCACTGGTTGACTTGTCCTGTCGTTGACCCGGCGAAGAAGTCAGGAGATCCGGTAAGACCGAACTGGGTCGCGAGCCTGGTGACGAGTCGGATCTTTGGAAATCACCGCCGCCTCCGCTTCTTGAACGATCACCACCCTCGCGATTCTGCAAAGCAGCGACGCTCGATTTAGCAAAGAGAGAAGGAGGAGGAGGAAAACGTGAAATGCAGCGAGAGTAAGAGAAAGAGTGGACGTAGAAAAGACACGATCAGAATCTGAACCTCTTTCTCTTTCTCCCTCTCTCTCTCTCTTTCTTTCTATTTTACATCGTCTCCCGCCCTCCCCCCGTGAGATTTCACTCTCGTCTCATCCCAAACACAGAGGAACTGATACTGCAGTTACAAAGTTACAATTGGCTTTACATTTGTCGTCTACGATATTCAGATATCGATAATGCGATAACAGACATAAGATAGAGAGCAAGTCGCGCGGATTAGAAGTGGAAAGAATGGTGAGAGCGTAAAAATATCGAGAGGCAAGGGCCAGGGATCGATGGCTAACGAGGGGAAGTGTCGCCGGCAACGCGCGTGGGGCGATGAAAGTGTGGAAACGCGGATTACGTCACGGGGAAAGCAAAGAGGCAAGCAGAAGTGGACGAAGGAGCATAGAATCGAAAGAAAAAAAATGGGGAAAGAAGAAGAAGAAGAAGAGGAACGGAGATTGCGGAGAGCGCGAAGAGCGAAAAGCTGTGAAAAGTCGAGAAAAGAATAACAACAAAGGACGATGCAAAAGGACGAAAAATTATGCAAGTATAATCTCGAGAGAAGGCTCTTTTAGTACGTCTAAGAAAACAGAGTGTGTTTACGAGTTATTAGTTTCTTCTCACGAACAAACGAAACGAACGAAGCGCAACAACAACGAAGAGTTGCGCGCGACTTACGACATGTGTGTAGTGCAGAAAATACATCAAGTAAAAACAAAAAAAAAAAGGAAACAATGAAGAGAGAGAATACGCATGCAAGAAACGTCGATTAGCTAATATCGATAGTATATCTAGTTGCTTAAATAACTTATCCCGTTACGTCGTGTCGTGAATGAATCGCTGAACGTTTCGTCCCGTTTCTCACGGCGACGGGTAAAAGCACACGTAAAAAAAAAAAAAAACTGCCGTTATCCTAAAACTCGTTATACTGTAATCTCGACAGTTACTTAAGTGCGTTACGATCACGTTATAACGACAAACTCGACAGTATGTACAAACACACACAGTCACAGTCGCAATCACAAGAAGAGTTTCTCACGGATATACACCATAAATGAGTGGAAAAATAACAGCCCAACGATATGATACCTACAATACACAGTATGAAAAACACAAATCGTATACGCTCTTCTATGGCTTCTACCAATAGCAAACTAGGCTTACACTAGAGATTAGCTAATAACCGAGGGGAGCCGAGTGCGACTTTGCTTTCATTCGGATGCCGTTGCAACACGAGTCCCCGGTAATAGTTTCGTCGCATTCGACTCTTCGATCTTCGACTAACGAGCGTACAGATAAAGGCCGCGATTTCTCAAACTCGGTAACATCCTTATTCGTCTCTCTCTCTCTCCTCTCTCTCTCTCTCATACACACATACATACACATATGCGTACTAACGTTTCGTTAGTCTCGGCAAGACGGCCATAAGGGTGAACATAAAAATTCGCTACATGCCGAAGGAACACACACACACACGCACGCACGCACACACACGCACACACACACACACACACACACATATATATAGACAAAAATGAAGCATGCTTTAGCACGTGCTGCGTAACATGGACACGCCGTTTCTGGAGCACACACACTTCGAGGCAACGCAACATTTGTTTAACAAGCGTCATGCAAGACGGTTCTCGTGATCAATCACAGTCGTGGGTCTCGTTATATGTTTCGTTAACTGAATTCCATCGTCACTCTAAGTCTTTCCTGCTTCTCTCGACTGCAAACTTTTCCCCGCGAGGCCGTTCTCTCTTTGCCTCAACCGTCGTCTTCCTCTTCTCCTAGTACTTTGATCTCTCTTTCCTCACAGTCTTATCGTCTCTTTTTCCTTCTCTCTTTCTCTCTCTCCCTTTCCTTCTTTCTCTCTCTCTCTCTCTCTTTACCTCCTTACGTGGTCGGAATCATGCATATGATAATAAAAATCATGTTAGCACAAAACACATCCATACACGCCAGGTCGTTCGTCGATCACAATGATAATTCTCGTCCTCAATCTCTCTTTTTCTCTCACACTTTTTCTCCTCCTTTCTTTCCTCCTCTCTTTCATCCCACTCTTTCATTCTCGATCTTTTTCACTCCTGGGATGCAGGGACTTTTGGCTCGAGTAAAATAGGATTTCCAAGAGACTGGTGAAAGAGAACGCGCTGACGATTATTATCGCAGTATTATTAATATCTTTAGCAAAGAGCATTTCAGCGATATGTATCTACATTTTGAAAAATCAACGTCAAGCCGTACGACAAAAGACCGACTCCGTTGTTAACGAAAATATCTTTAAACGTCGCTGCGAAAATTGCAACAAAAAAAAAAATGATCGTGGTTAGTAACACAATCATGCCTCTTTAGAAGGATCCCAAACAGAAGCCAGAATCTGATTAAAATTACGGAGAGAACCCGCACTCTGGGTATGTTAATGTAGTTTTCAAGCTGAGGTTAATAGCTACCGTGTTAAATACACGCAATTATACGCATGACAGAAACAGAAGCATATGCTCGAAGCTGAGAAGTCAGAGACACAGTCGGGCATGGAAGTTAACCCTCTCATTTTAGAAACCGCACCGGAGCGCACGGCTGCTTCCGTGGATTCCGTGGATCAAAGCGAAAGACCGGTCACATGAAAAGTCACATGGAAACACGTTAAGCGTAAACGAAGGAACGTTCTCACGTAAGATTCGCTCTATCGAGAATTTTAGGCCGCTTTTCGTCCGAATCCCGCGACGTGCCCCGTTGCGCCGATGCCGATAACGACGCTGTCGAATATCCCGAGGGAATTCCATGCGGTTAATCTTTCTTTCTCTCTCTCTCTTTCTCTTTCTCTCTCCTCGGCGGTTCGATTCCAGATCTCATTCGTTTCGTCGTCGTAGGAAATCACGTTTCGACTCTTTGTTTCAGCATGGTATATAATATGTACGCGTCGCTCGCGAACGAACGGAGGACGAGGCTCTCTCTCTTTCTCTCTCTCACTCTCGCCGGGAAGAGGGATGAGCAGCGATGAGCGGGAAACGCAGGAGGTCCGATTTACGGAGTAGCAATTAGGAATTTCTCGACATCGTCTCCTCGTTCAAGATCGTCAGCGACATTACGGGAGATTCTGCAACCGCGGAAGTACACGGAGAAAATATTGCAGAGCTGCCATTTAGTCACCGGTACAAAAAAAAAGTGATATAGTGACTACTTAGTAGAACAGGTGACAAAGGGTAACTCTTTAGATATCAGAATAGTAGCCAAAGATGACGTTTTCTGTCAAATTTTGAAAGTAACTAAGACCATTTGAACAAGAAAGTAATACTTATTCTTACCTTCCCAAGTTTATCTCTGGATAATTTAACATACAGGGTGTTTCTTAAGTAGCCATATTCAAGAGGACAATTCTTTGATTTATTTCAAATAAAAAAGTTCATATAAACGTGTGTCCTAAACGACTTAGTTTCCGGAATTTACATTATAACTTATATGAACTTTTTCACTTGAAATAAACCAAGGAATCGCCTCCTTGAATGTGACTGGGTGCTTAAGGAATATCCTGTATAGCGTAATATTCTTTTCATAATACGATTTGATAGTTCATAACAAAGAAAGACCAAGGACATAAACGATACAAGTATGCTTTCGGAGCAATTAACAGCAGACAAGATAGCAAAAATATACATAAAACACTATATTTTAATTTAGCGGCAAATTTAACGGCAGTTCAGGAAAAAAGTGATTACAGCGAACCATTTTGCATGATAATGAATTTTTCAATGACTTGTCAAAAAAAAAAAAAGTGACAAAAGGTGATTTAAGTGACTGAATAGCAGCACTGATATTGTAGTAAAAATAAATTTAAAATTTTATAATACTGGACCATACGGGAATTGTGACTGAAATTATGTGTTGTAAGCTTTAGTGACGTGTACAATAAAATACATCATTAAATATTATAACACACACCCTAATTTAAGTTATAATTCTGACATAGTCCAACATAACAAAATTTGGTGCTAATTTTTACCACAATATTTTCCCCGTGTAGCTCGAACCTTTTCGTCGGAACGATTCACGGACGAGACGTTAAGCGCTACGACGATTAACGATCCGGCGACAAGTGCGCCGACGAGAGGAGGTAAAACGCTGCTCGGCAAATACACGACACATCTGCGGAAAGCCTTCTATCGATGAAGAGAACACAAGGGGAAGAAGGGAATGAGGGACTGTTATCAATAGCATCTCCCAGCAAAAATTCCCCATGTCCTTAGTAATAGTGGAAAACAGTGGTAATAGAGCACTCTAATAGTGTAGTAGTAATAATAGTAGCGGTAGACGTAAGAGGTAAGAGCAACAATGGTAGTAGTAGTATACTGCTATATAGTGGTAACGAAATTAGTGATAGACTAGCGTGTCAATGTATCAATAGTACGCTAACGCGTTGCGCTTCGAAGGATCCGACGATCTCGCTCTTGGCCGCGGAAACAATCGGAGAATCTAACCGGAGAATTATACGAGAGAGATGTGGTGTTATAATACTGCTAAAGTATGATACTGATATAGCACTAGATGATTAATAGTAATAATGTATCGCTGCTACTCGTCCCGCGGGGACGCAAATGAAACGGTGACACGGGAGAAAGGAAATGCGCCTAAGAAGTTCGAGCGTAGCTGACTAGCTTTCTATGTGATCGTTATATGCCACTGGATGGTCGCGGAGAGTCAATCGCGATGGTGTGTCATGGGAGAAAAGTGAGCGAATGTCTCGAAGTGTCGTGCGAGTTACGAGAGAACGCGCGTGCGGATATTGCGTTCTTCGTCGGAATGGAAACCGTAGACGGCACGGGTCGCCGGGAACGAAACGCTGGGGCACTTCCTCTCGGGCCCGAAGTCACGAAGAAACGTAATTCGCTCCCCTTGGAAAAATATTTCACCGTTTTTACTTCTCATCACAGACCGTCTTCGGCCCATTTTCATGTTCGTTTTTCCTGCAGGCACGCGCTGTCTATTAAGCGAAAAAAAATATGACGAGTACACGCGAACACGCATGAATATTTTTGAGGAGATTGCTAGTCTTTGAGGAGAATGCTCATTTTTCGCTGATGAATGAGAATACGTTGATACACGGAGAAAAATATCACTCGTACTGCGAATAAAAGCGATCGCTCGATTTATTTTTCTTCTTTTAAGTGATGGTTATCTCGAAGGAAGAATATTTTTCTGTGTGCACGTTCCTCTTTTACTTCAGTTTCGTCTCGATATACGGAAAGAGACGCGTTAAAGAGTCGTGCGATTTACTCGTGCCGCTTAAAAATGCGCGATGTGAGTGCTCGTGAATGTTAAATGAGTGTTTTGTACTCGTAACTGAAATGCACACGTTCACACACTTTAAAGTTACACAGCACTACGTACTTGCTACTCAAAAACACTCAAAGTACGTTGATACTACTCGTATTTACGGAAAATGGCTTCTTTCCGGCCTGAAAATGTGGTCATACTCACTCGGTCAAATGTACGTTTTGCGGGCCGAAGACGGTGAAATATTTTCGCAAGAGTCGTATCGGGGCCCAAGACGGGCATCCGCGGTGTTCCACTGCCTATGAAACGCTCTGTATACGATCGACAGGACATCAACGATCGCGGGATGAAAAATTCGCACGAAAGGACGGACGTTAAGACGAAGGCGAACAGACGAGCGATACACAGTGGCGCTGTCAATTTCGACTACCCGAGTATCCGAGTATCTCCCCAGTAACCGAATATACGGCTAATTTCGGATATCACCATTATTGCCTGTTATCGCAAAAAAAATCAATAATCCGTGTAACATCTGCAATTAGCCGTACACAGCCAGAAACTTACCGAAAGACTCGGGTAGTCGAAATCGACAGCGCTAATTGACACACAGGCGCGGCTCGACAGACACTTCGAGGACAAACATTCTTCGGGGACGGACGGACGGACGGACAGGGGGTGGCGTGTCGGGGAGGAGACACAGGCAGAAAATATGATCAATCGACACGATGTGAGAGAGGGGTCGGTGAGAAGGGTCGTTCAGGCAAGCACACAGGCAGGGGCTCGCGTACGGGCTCGCGAGCGAAGGCTTCGCGAGGACTCGCAGGACTCGCCTCTATAGGGGGGGACTGACCTGGGTGACAATGGGGCTGTACTCGCTGGCCGTCGTACTGGCCGTCGACTTAATCGTTCCCGCATCGTCGAGCACGACGACGGCGGAGGCCGTACTGGCGTCCGACGGTCTACAACTGCGTCTTCTTGCGATCTCGTCTTTATCGCGTCCGAAATCCGCGTACCTCCTCGCCTCGTGCCTACTACCGAAGACGATCTCGCTCTCGGTCTTCTCTCGCCTCGGCCTCTGCGGGCCGTCCCGGCTCAACGAGAAGTCCGTCAGCACCGGCTCGCCCGAGCTCAGGGCGGCGCCCTTCTTACCGGCAATACCGGCGACGCTAATCTCGCTGCCGCGCCGATTGCCGCTGGCGAATATACTGGACCTCGACGAGTCCGAGGACTTGTGCAGGTAAGCCGAGTGTCGCGCGGACGGGAAAAAGTCGGAATTCTCGCGGCGGAAGGCGCGCGCGAACGCGCTCGAGGCATTGCCCAATTTCGAGTCGCTCTCTTGCCGCCTGTGAATCGGCTTCAATTGCTGCTGTTGCGGTTGCTTTTGATGGTGTTGCTGCTGTTGCTGTTGCTCGTGTTTCCGTCGGGCTAACTGCTCCTGTCGCTTCAACGTTCTTTCGCTAGACGAAGAGGAGCGATCCTCGTTGCCGGGCTTGCTAGCGCCACCGCCGACCTCCTCTTGCGGACGCTCCTGCTTTATTTTGTCCAGCTTTTCGTTAAAACCCTGAAAGAAGTGGAAGATATCCCACTCTTTCAGGAGCAGCTGCTCGTCTATCTCTGAACGCCGGTTGCCGCTAGCCGTGGCACGATCGTCTGACATCTGACTAAGTTTCTAGAGTGCGTGTACGATGGCGGGGATAACGGTACGATGACAGAGAAAAAAAAACAAGAAAAAGAAATGCGTGCGATAATAACAACGTGAGACGTGATGGCTGTCGGTTGGTGTGCTCGGAGTGTGATGATATACAATGTGTGGTGTTGGAAGAGAAAAAAAATGAGGAAAAAATGTTGATGAACGACTATCGGTTGCGACGGTAGAGTCTGTCGAGTCGAGAGGTGTGTGTGTGTGTGTGTGTGTGTATGTGTGTGCAATAATAATGATTCCAAGATAAAAATATAGAACGAAGCGACCGTCGAGAGAGGAAAAAAAAAGAAGAAGATAACGATGCGATATACATATTCACCACCGAAGCAATATATAGTCTATCGGGCAGCATATTTATTCATCGTTCGTATATGAATGTGCAGGGTGTATCGTACGACAGCGGCAAAAGTACAGACAACAAGGCAGTGCGCACCATTGTGCTCGCTTGGAATATACAAAATTATCAAGTCACACGACGAACGTACGTGGAACGTAACAATGAGGGGGAGTGCACAGTGACCACTGAATTAGTCCCGATATCATCAGTTAACGTGTACGTACATATTTACAGAAGAAAAAAAATTGGTGAAAAAAAAAACAAACAAAACAAGATACAGGAGAAACGAAACAACAATTATGTGCATCGCAATCGTTCGTGTTCCCTTCCCTTCGTCCATTCTCGAGTCTCGTTCGTTCTCTCGCGTTTAACTTATGTGACTTCGTCCAGTGAAAATATCTGATTTATTTATATATATATATTGAGACGTTCAGATGGTACCGATTCTTGCGAACCGACTCACGACGCAAATGGAAAAGGAAATACGTCGACTGCTTTGCGCGAGCTACTGAAAAAAAACGGTGATCACACCAGTCTCGTACGTTTACATACCATCGATATACACGGAAAGACCTCGAATTGATACCGAAATTAAATGTACATCCGCGCGAACGGAAGAGAAAAGAAGTAGTTTCTACGAAAATATGTAGATCTTATAGCTTGCATGGCAAACTCGAGGGTAAGGGTACTCACTCGTTTCATGACTAGCGTACGATCTCCCGATTCTTCCTCATCGGGGGTTGGTGGGAGCGGGCGATTCGGTGCTCCTCCTAAAAATCAAAGTAGAGCAGATTAGGTGAAAAAAAAAAAATTAGGAGATTAGTTTAAGAGATCGACCTTAGATAACTAAATTTTCTTGTCACTCACGTTATTACTAATTATTCGTAAAAATTACGATTGCAAAAAAATACGTAATATTTTAGAAAACCATTATTTTTGAAAATTTTTATTTGACCGTGTAACGCAAACATTTTTGACAAGTGTTTTCTAGCTTCCGACGTCACACAAACAAGGACGGTTGCAGTGAGTAGTAAGAAACCTTAAGACAATAATTATTCAGCACAACTTGAATATATGTTGATATTAAGGGCACGACATATTGCTATTTTGCAGTTAATGCAAATTAATAGTCATTTTTCTGGATTTGGACGGACAGAAAACGCAAACTGTTTGTGTGGTAAGAAGCATCGTGAATTTTACGACAATTTAATGATCTAGGATTAAATAGAAGCGTAATATAGTTTATTATTAACAAAACGCATTCGGAAGCAGGCCTCTTACCTTTCGGCTTGTCTTCGTGATGGGAGTTTTGAGCATTGTGCGAAGACGACGATGACGAATCCGATGACGGTCTGAAAGGAGAAAATTCGGGACTGCAGCGACGAACAAATATGCGAGATGACGATGAGACGCACGGTGAGACGCACGGTGACGCGATGAAGCACGAGTAACGCGTCGCCGGTGTTGGCGAGGCAAGGCAATCAGGCGATCAGGCGATGCGATGTGATGTGACCAAGACGACCATGTGATGCGAAATGTCGAAGCGTGGGATAGGCGTGATGGAAGGTGAAACGAAATGATATTAGTATGATTAATACAAACGTATCACCGAGCCGCGTCTACTTGTATCAGTCGGTTATGTAAATTATGTACAGGTCGGCGACCTCTAAAAAGAAATAACACTTACGACGGAAGGATGGTTGTTCATTATCTCGATATCACTGAATGTTCACGCGACGTAGGATTTATATAGGATATTATCCTTTATTAAATAAAATTAATTAAAAATCAAGTCGAAAGATCCCGAATTGGTTTTCTATGATTCTTAATGAGAAAAATATTATTAAATAAAATCCAATTAATCACACAATATTTATCTGAGAACAACGCGATAATATGGCTTGCAGACAAATGTCCACTTGAAATTCCCTTATTTTTTTTCCAGATATAGACAAATTCCCTAAGAATTCCAGATTTTTCCAGGTAATAGACACTCGGATGACGTAACCCGTACGTTAACACGGGAATAAAATGAGCACCATAAATATTATTTTTTAGAGGTCACCGTGGCTTTGCGGTTATTAAGTTTGAACGGCTCAAACCGGTTCCTAACGGTTAGTTACTGTTGTCTACGTCATGGCGGCTTGTGTGCCGTCGTTAAAAGCTCACACTTAAGTGGATTTTCCCCAAAAACGAACCGCCTTGTGCGTTTTATTCATTTATTGTATGCTTATATTCTTACAGGGCAACGAATGGGACGACAATGGAACGTTAATACAGCGAGCGCCCCTGTGATTCCCGAAATGAGACTTGCAGTAACCCGGTTATTGAAATATGTCACTTCACAAAGCGAATTGCACATAAACTATGTATACTTACAGCGGCTTCGGTGGGTCGCTTGCCAACAGGGTACCGTCGTTTCTCAGATTGTTACCTCCAGCATCCTCCAGATCGTCGTCGCTGTCACTATCGATCGATAGGGCCTAGAACGACATAACGTGACGTATCACCTTTAGCATATTATATTCTCGTCTCTCTCTCTCTCTCTCTCTCTCTCGCAGTAACATTAGTTCTCGTATCGTATATTCTTTACCTCGAATTATAGACGCAAGGCGACGTTACGGTATCGTTCACGTGAATAACGAGAGACGAAGAAGAACGAAAGGGATAAATAGAGAACAACGAGGGGGAAATAGTAGACGGAGATGCAGAGACACGGGAGGCGAGATATATCGCTTATTTTCGCCGCTGCGAATGATCAACAGCGGCGCTGCGCGGCTCCGATAGCTTACTTGATCGAGAATACTGGAGGATTGCGGCATCTGTTTGTTGTTCTGATCGTTACCACCTGCGGGCTGCACCGAATTCGAAGTAGACGAGGCTGCAGGGCCCTTATGCTGCCTGTTTGGCCTCGGCGGGGCCTCGGGGCCCTGTGACACACCAAGCTCGTTGAGTTGAGCAGCCAGCATGTCCAAGTCCTACCACCCACACGCACACACGCACAACCCCGTTAGTCACTGTTCCGAGACACCTTCGAGAATCTTTTGCTAGAGAAGCCACCATCGGACGCAGCCAAACAAGGCGGATAGGCGAGGAAGATGTCAAAGAGAGAACGTAAAGTACTGGCGGTTTGAAGCTGAGACTGCCGAATGACGCTCGGACGAAACTCAGAAAATGTTAATAATACGGTGACGACCAATCCAGACGCAACACGTTTAATGAACACGTTATATATATATACAGATATCTCGCGAATTGCTGATTGCAAGAGTTCAGAATGAAGCAATAGAATTGCTGAGAATTACAGCGTTGCCATCCAGTTCACCGGAGCGAAAAAGTGAAACAATTGACCGCTTCTTGGCAGAAAAGGTGATAAAAAGTGACTTCTCAGATATCAAAATAGTGACCAAAAGCGATAAGTTTTGTTAAATTCTGAGAATAAGATCATTCAGGCAAAAAAGTAACACTTATTCTCACATTTCCAATTTATCTTTGGATAACTTAACATACAGTGAGTTATTTTCACAATACAGTTTGAAAATTCATAAAAAAAAGACCAAAGATGTGAACAATACAATGAAGTACGCTTTCGAAGCAATTTTATTAAAAGAAACGGCAAAAATGTGTATGTATAGAACATTTATATTTTATAAATTTAACAACAGCTCAGGAAAAAAGCGACTATAGTGACCCATTTTGAACGATAGTGAATTTTTGGAAGAAAAATTGTCAAGAAAAAGTGAGAAAAGGTGACTCAAGTAACCGGATCGCAGCGCTGGAATGAGTAGAAAGAGTCCCAAGCCAAGCACAACGCGTCGAATTGACGATCTCGATTTGCACCTCGTACCAAATATATTATTTATCTGCATTACGATTGACTAACGTAAAGAAACAACTTTATCACGTTATTACTCTCGCGACAAAAACGGTTTTCTTGCTTGCACCGAACTATATTGCATCGAATCTGTTCGTCTATTCTCTGCATGTCACGAACTTTAAACGATCGACATCGTATATTTTAACTGTAGACAAAGTTACATTGACATTAGTTCTTTCTTTCTTTCTTTCTTTCTTTCTCTTTCTCTCTCTCTCTCTCTGTTTCAACGACGCGACGAGAACGATGGAGATCAACAATGTTATTTCTCGAAACACCAACAAACGTGTTGTGTATGTGGATCTAAACATATATATACCGTTCTACTGATAAAGAAAATCCACTTAGGCGATCAGAGTGAAGCCTAATGAAGGACAGAGTGCACAGTGCTCACAAGCGGAAGTATATTAAAAGGGCATGTGACTTGTTATTTTATGAAACGGATGAGTTCAATAATAATCGATCAGCGCGCAACCTCGCCAGAAGGACAGAATCGAGTATTCCACGTACGCCAACGTCGAATTAACGCGCTTCCGCGCGCTGATCGTCATTATTACATCATCATCCGCGAGTCGCGTCTGCGGATAAGCGAGATGTCGATACACATGTAACGAGAAAAAGGATAAAGTGTGCGTGTCTCATCTTACCTCGGGCCTTCTCGGTGGCAGCTACGGTACGTGTGAACATAGAAAAGAAATAAAAACCAAATACATTCCAAGTTCGAGTGCCAGGAGCTCTTGTGTACGTGTGTGTGTGTGTGTGTGTGTGTGTGTGTGTGTGTGTGTGTGTGTGTGTGTGTGTGTGTGTGTGTGTGTGTGTGTGTGTGTGTGTGTGTGTGTGTGTGTGTGTGTGTGTGTGTGTGTGTGTGTGTGTGTGTGTGTGTGTGTGTGTGTGTGTGTGTGTGTGTGTGTGTGTGTGTGTGTGTGTGTGTGTGTGTGTGTGTGTGTGTGTGTGTGTGTGTGTGTGTGTGTGTGTGTGTGTGTGTGTGTGTGTGTGTGTGTGTGTGTGTGTGTGTGTGTGTGTGTGTGTGTGTGTGTGTGTGTGTGTGTGTGTGTGTGTGTGTGTGTGTGTGTGTGTGTGTGTGTGTGTGTGTGTGTGTGTGTGTGTGTGTGTGTGTGTGTGTGTGTGTGTGTGTGTGTGTGTGTGTGTGTGTGTGTGTGTGTGTGTGTGTGTGTGTGTGTGTGTGTGTGTGTGTGTGTGTGTGTGTGTGTGTGTGTGTGTGTGTGTGTGTGTGTGTGTGTGTGTGTGTGTGTGTGTGTGTGTGTGTGTGTGTGTGTGTGTGTGTGTGTGTGTGTGTGTGTGTGTGTGTGTGTGTGTGTGTGTGTGTGTGTGTGTGTGTGTGTGTGTGTGTGTGTGTGCGTGTGTGTGTGTGTGTGTGTAATAGAGAACGCATCAGCGTGCACGCCAATGACGCAATAGCGAAATAGAACGCGTGCAAGAGATGGAGATACGATAAATATATATATATATACACATATATATAGTATATCGCAATATATATATATATATAGAAAGAGGGACATACAGAGTGAAAACTATGCGTCATATATGAAGAGAATATATATACTCGGACCGGTAAATACAAATTTAAGGCAAAACTGCAAACAAAAAGAGAAGGGAACGGACAGCGTATGCCTTTCTACATGTCTGGTCATCTATATCCTTTTATCCGACTATTTATATATATATAACTCTTATTCGCAAAGTGTAAGTCGGAGCGGGGGAAAAAAAAGAGGGACGCCGGTTCCCGGATGATCGGAAAGGGTCAGAGGTCACGGGGAAGAAGCGTTTTGTTTATTCAACGAAGGCTTACCATAGGCTTGAAGACGTGACTATTCCTCTGAGGTGCCGGTTGTCCACCGGATCCTCCGCTACCTCCCCCTCCTCCTCCCCCTCCTCCTCCGGCAGGTGTCTGATGATTGGAAGGCGGCGTGGATACTTTGTGCGGTTGCCGGGGATCGTCTCGGGGTGTCGGGGGTAACGGACGAGACGGTGGTTGAGGATCTGGCACCACTGGTGGTCGTAGTTATCGATATCAGCATGACGCGAGTCTCCGCGCTCTCGCGTTTGAGAAAGAAGTATCGAGCTTACCTATGAGTCTGTGCGGTATAGCCGGCCTGGCAGGTGGCCCGGGTTCCGGCACCTCTCTCTGAGACCTGTTGCCCGGCTTCTCTTTAGCAGCGGGCGCCTGAGGAGGCACGTCCTGCGTCAGAGTCCTGCCCTCCTGAATCTGCTGGAAGTTGCGGCGCAACGTATCACCGCCGGGCGCCTGAACGATGGACGACGGCTCGCCCGCCAACGCCGGCTCGTCCTCTTCGTTTTCACTACCGCTGTATCGGTAGTCGTCCCTTTCTGCGGACGAGAAAAGACGATTTAAAAGTGTTAGCACGACGCCGAACGTCCCGAAATCAACTCTCACTCTCTTCCCGTCACCGTGTTCTCTCCTCACCTTTCTCCTGTTTGCGCTTTTTGCAGCGATCGATGTGGTCCTTGAGCTGTATTCTAACTTGCCTCTCCGTAGGCTGGTCCCGTATGAACGGATGTTTGAGGAGCTGTTCCGTGTACGGCCTCTGATGGTAATCCTTCACCAGCACCGTCTCGATGAATCCGTGAAACTTTTTCGCCCACTTTTTCGACTTGAGTCTCGGCGGTGGGTTACGCGGGATCAGGAACAAAGCCTGTTCCGATAATGAGAGAGACGGTGGTATATGTGCGGCGGTATGTAATTTCACGTATCGCGCGGGGATCGCTACTACACCGCGCGCGCTCGGTAGAGACTCTGTAATTATTGAAATTACTGAAAAAAAAAACCCACTCACTCTCATGGGATGAAGATCGCAGAGCGGAGGTTGTGATTCAGCCATTTCCAAAGCGGTAATCCCGAGCGACCAGAGGTCGCTCCTATTGTCGTAAGTAGCGTCTGGATTCTCGTCGCAAGCGATAACTTCCGGAGCCATCCAGTACGGTGTGCCGATGAACGTGTTTCTTCTACCTATCGTTCTATCCAATTGTGCGCTGACGCCGAAATCGACTGGAGGAGACGCGGCAAGGTTAATTTATGCGAGAGGAAGTAAAATTTCCAAAAAAAAAGGGGAAAAAAGGCAGGATACGCGATCGATTATTCCGAAAGCTGGTCGTCTTACCGAGTTTGACTTCCGCGTTGTCAGTCAGCAGGACGTTCTGTCCCTTAATGTCCCTGTGGATAACTTTATTGCTATGAAGATAACTAAGCCCCCTCAGTATTTCTCGCGAGATATAGGCTATCCACTCCTCTTTCAAGCTCTGGCCCTTGGTGGACTTGACGAGGTCCGTAACGGAGCCAGCTCCGCAGTACTCCATAACCAGCCATAATTGATCGTCTTTGCCGGGTGATGACTTCTTCACGAAGGCACCGTAATACGTAGCTATATTTCTATGATTCGAGTACTGCAACAGGGCACGAGAAGGCTCATTTGCATTAATTCAAGCCGCCGAATGACGATTCAGCGCGCGGTATCTATTTATATGTACACGCATACACACACACACACACTCACCCGCTTGAGTACGTTTATTTCCAACTTTATCTCTTCCTCCTCGTCCTGCAACAATAAACAGAGCCTGTTGAGATAAATTTCTTTCTGACGAGGCTCCCCCTGATTCCCTTATTGCGTTTCCCGCGTGTCGAGCAAACAGCCTACATATTCTTTCCGCGTAATCTTACGTTTACTTTGAGCTTCGTACAGATATATATATATATATATATATATCTCCATCTGATTAGAAATTGGCTTAACTCGTGAAATCACGAGCAAGTAGAGATTGTTATCGAACAATCGTATCTGAGACCGAGAGCTGATATCGTAACTACGGGATGATAAGCTCCGTGAATACAACCGTTAGAACAAACGCGGGTCGCACATTCTCCGCGAGGTGGAGAGGAAAAAAATATCAGAATGTGAAAATTCCGTTTAGTTGTGGAAGGTTGTGAAAAGAGCAATCTAACGTTCGCTAAGTAGGTAAGTAGAGTCGAGGCTTTACTCGCGCGTTACACGAGAGGGAACGGAAGAGGGGCTTTCGCGAGGGGAGAGAGAGAAAGAGAGAGAAAGATGTGCGACGACGAAGATAGAGGGAACACGCGATCATAATCGTATCGCTGCATTCCGACGTATCTTCCAACGCTTAGATCGACTTACAAAAAAAGGCCTGTAAGAACGCGGCTACGCGATATTATATTAGCACCGTGAGATCTCTCTCTCTCTTTCTTTTTCTTTACCTCCAATTACCAATTAAAGGTATCTCGAGCGGAATAAAGTAAAACAGAATGAACGACGAGAAATTAAGGATGTATCGCGTATCAGTGTATTTTATTTTCAGCGGACGCATCAAAGAGGCCACTTTAATATTCATCAAGCAAAATTACGTTCTTATATCTAACTCATTTATTTCATTGCCTGAATAATGATAAATGTTAATTTGAATCAAAATTGAGGTGTATATATATATACACAATATTACATATATGAAAAAAATTTTCCTTTTTCCTTATCAATACTATTCTTATTTATGCATCAGTTAATTATAATCTTTAGTACCATAATGGTTTTTTCACTAAAATTTTGTTTTTATAGTTGAGGAGATATCAAAAATAGAAATTAAAAATAATACGTTAATGTTATATTATGTTATATTAAAAATAACATGTTAATGTTATTTTTAATTTCTATGTTTGATATCTCCTCAACTATAAAAACAAAATTTTAATGAAAAACTATTATGGTACTAAAGACTATAATCAACTGATGCATAAATAAGAATAGTATTGATAAGGAAAAAGAAATAATTTTTTCATAACATGTTAATCTTTCTCAAGGAACACGTATAAAAAGAAATATCAACTTTAATTATAATCCGAACATGTATATCTAAAAGACATTTCAAAGACGTTCTTTAGATATCTTATTGTCTGAAAGCCGACTTTACAATATCTAGAGCGTTTTAACGTCTTATCTCAGGGAAATATCTCAGCTCTGGAATAGTCAATCTTTTTCTAATTGCACGAGCAATGTGAGTTAGATAATATTTCAACGTATACGCGCAGTACAAGTTTCGAATTCTTATCGAACTCATTTCATCGTACAATCTTCTTTTAAGTGGAACTTACTTTAGCTCTGAATCATTGTCAAACTTTTTTCATGCCGCTTTTAAATGCAATATAGATCAATCTGTAATTTTTCTCATCATTTCTTCATCACTTCGAATTACGGACGATGCATCCTTAGAGAGACAATTTGCGCGTGTGTAGAGTACGCGTGCGTGCGAAAGTAACGTAAACTGCGCTAGATAAAAAATAAGTACGCGATGAGGACCTGTTTATTGGGAACGCGCGGGCACACCGATAGATGGATATCGGCGTGGTAATTTTCCATATCGTAACGGTACATAACGACCGCTCTTCACGAGTTAATATAACGACAATGATGACTGACAAAGGAAACGCGCTATTGCGCATCGTGCGCTAATAATTTATTCATGTAATTTCGCGCGCACACTCTCGCCGCGCGCGCGCTCGAGAGGCCCGTTGCAAAAGCGGTACGCCTTTCCGGCGGCGGGTCCGCCGCCGGTGACACGGCGCATTCTGAATTCTAGAATGCTGTCGCGGCTGCATTAGACGACTCACGCGCTGTCGCGGCCATCCGACAGCACCGGGGGCTTCGTGGAAACGTTCTTTGTCCTCCACCGTCGCCGGGCGCGACGATACCGCGTTAATGATTCGAGAATCGTTTCGTTATATACATATATATCGCGCAGCCTTCGCGTCTTTCGCTGATAAAGCTTATCAATCTGCGGTCGGGACGCGCCGTCGACGTTACGTTTATTTTCTGGAATCGGGACGGGTGGTCTCATCTCCCCTGCCGGCCAGTAAAACTCGCTCTACACCGTCGAGTCGCCGATTCCAAACAACGACGGCGGGTGACGAGGCCCCCCGACTTCGTTTGTCTCCCGCGCACATGAGACTCTCTTTGACCGCACTTCCGAAACGAGGCGACGTTCGCGAACTGCAATTTCGACCTTCGAAGATGCAGCGAAACGAAACCGAGCGCCGCCGCGGAGTGTTGGTCGCTCGTAATCGAATCCACGAGCAAGCGAGGAAGCGATTGAGTCGCGCGCTTAGCCATCGTGAGACCGAATACTTGCCTCCGTGACGTCCATGACCTTGATGGCCGCCAGCTGACCGGTCTTGGTGTGCCGACCCTGCGAAGCAGAAAAGAACGGATCGTTATTATCGTGTCCGTTAGCGAGACGACACGAGAGAGAGAGAGAGAGAGAGAGAGAGAATCCCTAAAGCGTACGAGATCAACGACGTGATATGTACACGTACATTTCTAAACTTATTCTCCCCAAGGCTGACCGCCTCGAAATATCCTTTTACAATACGTACACCGCGCGCGTAAGGTTGAGCGCCGGCTACCCACCATGCGTCATCATCATCGCTTGCCCTTTCGGCCACCTGTACTCGCGCCTTCTCTTCCTCCTCTCCCCCTTCTTATCAGTCGGATATTAAATAGATTATTAAAAGAAAATGACGCACACGTCGCGATCGACGGGGGCGAACAAAATGCTCGCACACACATTTCTTCCCCTCCCACCCCCTACGGTGTAAACGTCTCATTTTCTCCGGCCGTCAAGGGACAGACGGGAGCAAGGAGGAGGAGGAGGCGACCAGACGGGGTGGCGCGCCGTGGCGGAAAAAGCGTCACGGTGTGCACCACACACTTCATATATTCAGCCTTTTTCAACTAGTACAAAGCCGCGCGCATATGGCCGGACGATATACGCGACACACACGAAAGAGAGAGAGAGAGAGCAGCGTCTATCCTCTTTCTCTGTCAAAGGGAATCGGTCCCCGTCGTTTCTCGCCGGCTCCTCGGTAAAAACCCGAGAAAGCAAGAGAGAGAGAGAGAGAAAAAGAGAGACAGAGAGAGGCTCTCTGCTCTCGCCTCTGCATCTCCTCCACCTACGTGCGTGCGAGTGTCGCTCGTTCTCTCTGGAAGCCAAGAGTCGCCGGTGCAGGACACAGGACGATCAAACGCGCGCAACGCCGCCGCCAAGTGCGACGGTGGTGGTATGCGGAGAAATCGTTGCAACGAGACGCAAAGTCTCGACGCGAAAAAAACATGTGCATATGCATATTCGACTTATCGCCCGCACGTACTGCGTTTCGTGTTTGACATAAATAATAATATATTATCGGAGAGATTAGAGAGAGAGAGAGAGAAAGAGAGATTGCTTCCTTCTTTCGTGCGCGGCGGTGCAACCGGGAAAACTAGATACGCCACGATGAAAAATGTAAACTGCAGCGCTAGAAATTGCAACTAATCCTTTTAATGTGTGCTGAACTCGAGCTTAACCCTCCTACTTTCGCGATATTGCAATTTCCATTTTCATTAGCGCAATGATACTCGGGCAATTACTAGAGAGTATTACAGAGAGACAGACACAGAAAGAGAGAGAGAGAGAGAGAGAGAGAGAGAGAACTACTTAATTACTAGAGAAAACTGGTAGTGCTGTTGACCGGCGATTAAATAGACAGCGGTAGTCCGACTGTTCCTGCAAAACGGGTCAACGGCGGGTCGGTCGAACATTATTTACGAGGTAGTAAAAGGAGCGAAGTAGTAAAATCGCGCGCCGCAAAAAGGTGGCCGACGATTCCAAATATCGTCTCCGCTCGGCGGCAGCTTTGGTTCGCCGGTTCGCGCGCATGATTATGAATGAGACACTCTCGAGAAAATGCTCGAGTCGCACGGGTTGAAAACGCGTCGTAAGTAAATCGTCGTCGCAGTCGTTTCAGTTAACGGTGCGTCAGCGCGAGCAGATAAAATGCGCGAGTGTGTAGAAAATCGAAGTCGCGCATCCGTCCGGTCGGCGTGCACGGAGTAGTAGCGTTGACTAAGCGGCAGAATCGATTGCCCGGAAGTGACGTTTGAATTATAAAAAGCGGCCGAGCGAGTCGCCCACGTGGCCACGATCGTCCAATCGAGTCCGACGATCGCGTGTGATATATTGTTAACGACACGTCTACCGGTATCCAGTTCGCCGAACATTACGAATCGCCTTGCGATTTGCAAATTGCTATCTCGTTAATACACTTGACAAGAAAGAAGGAGAGGGGGAGAAGGGGAGAGAATTCGTCGGAAGACTCAAGTGCGTTGACTCGTTATCGACGAGAAAAAAAAAGAGACGTATCATTTCCGACGTGGAGACGTCGATATTTCGTCTTTCGCGTGGAGCGTAACTCGTCAGTCGGATGATTCAGCGAGACTCTATCTCTCGAAAATGTGACGACGAGGGATACGTAAGAGATTAATTCTCGATGAAACGAGTTCCTTTTAAATTTATCGAATTTTATCATCCGATCCCGGTAGAGGCGCGGAGGAGGACGCGATTCGCGAAGATAGCGCGCGCGCGCGCGCACTCCCGTCGCACGCGGGTTTTCACGCACACGCGTGCCCGTTCGGCTCATTCTGTGCCGTCATCGGCAACGGGTCATCGCCCTCTTCCTCCTCGCTTCCCTCTCGTCCTCTCTCTCTATCTCCGCATAGAGTACAAAAGTAAAGCGTTTTAAAGAGCACGCGCCACGAGAAGGTGGAGAAGATTGCGGCGCCGAAACTGCATCTCCTTCTCTTCCTCTCCTTTTATTTTTCAACGGCGGGGGAAACGATCGACGGAAATTCGCGCTGGTGCGACGGTCCCTTTTCTCGAGTCGCGAATCGTCCGAGCAACTTCATGGCTTCGTGCGAACTTTTCCCATTACGATCCGTCGTAAAGTGGGCCAATCGTTACGAATGAGGCGCGAACGAGCGTGTTAAATGTAGCGGCGGCATCGGCCTGGGCGCGGACACACGTGAATTAATTGTGTCAGAACAACTTTCATTTTAATGTCGTTCACACGGGAGAGGGAACACGAGTATGCGCTGCCTCTGGTAACACCTCTTTCTCTCTCTCTCTTTCTCTCCTCTGCTAATACAGTAAAAATCCCCCTCCCTCTCTCTCTTTTTCTCTGTTTGCCAGAATTATATAATTAACAACGCGAGTGTAGCTGCTTATGATCCTAGAACGCTAATCATGCGAAATTCATTTCACATTTTCGACGATATTCCCAAGCTATATTTCCAGTCGTCTCCCAAATTAGATTTTCTCCGATTGTTTTAGAATTACGATTTATCCGAAACACTCAAGACTACTAACTATTCGCCACGACTGTCCTTGTTTAATGTCGGAAGCGAGAAAACGCAACGTCGGGAATTCTCGTACGTTATAAGTTCAAATAAAAGGATATATCCACAAAATGACATTTGTGATCGATTCAGTACTGTTGTAAAATTACCCGAACGCTTTTATTTTTACTCGAACAATCAATAAATTGTAAAATTAACATTGAAAAAATCACGAGAAAAGAAAGGAAGGTTCTATGTCAAATTAATGGGGGTCTTCTCATTTCTTACGATTTACTTTCTTACTATTTCAAACGTCGTTTTGTGATTTTTAGAAATATTTTTGTAAAATTATAAGTCATACAATTCTGAAGCTTGGTATGAATATTTATTTTTGTTTCTTGGTATGAAACTTTATTTTTGTTTCAACTATATATACAGTAAGAGTATTTGTATTATCTTCAATCTTATCAATAAAGTTATAAATAATTTTGTGCAGTGCTGAAATGAAATTTTGCTTGCATGGTTGACACGATTCCAGACATTATCAAGAAATCCTTAACAATCTAAATTAAATTAAATATCCCAAATAAGAACATCCCCTTAATTTTGCCACTATTTATTGATTGTTCGAGGGAAAAAAAAGTATTCGGATAATCTTGCAAATATGCTGAATCGACCGTAAATATCACTTTGTGGATATATCTTTTTATTTGAACGTATGACGTAAGAATTCTTGACATGCGTTTTCTCGCCTCTGACGTCATTAAGCAAAGACAGTCGTAACGGTCGAGAACCTTAAATCGCGTGAGAAATTAACCGGACACAGGGGCGTTTGGTATCGCGCGTATTTTCCTGTCGATTACTCAAAAGCACGCGTCGGAGACAAAGGTCGGCGTTCTAGAATGGATTCTCGCGATACCGGGACGCTCCTCGTTCCATTCTACTCTTCCCCGATTATCCTGATTCCGTTCTAATAAACGCACGACGATCCTAGGCACGCTAATGACGCGATCCCCGTGCGTCCTTCCGGTCGGGAGTCTCGACCTCCCGGCGCGCAACCACCACCACTACCACCGCGTTTTCACACCGGGATATTCCTCCAAGGACGACCTCGTCAAGGAACATTTTTTCAAGGTGAATCACCGTCTCCTTCGCGCCGCCGCTGCAGGTGAGGAAGCGGTCCCCGCCGCCTGTCTACTACTCCCACACACACGCGAATCGACTACCGTCGTGCACACGTTTCGTCGGCCGATTTTGCGTTTTACCGTCGCGCGAACGACGGTGCGTACGACAATTCCCCGAAGAGTACCTGCCGCTTTCATTTTTGGTCCCCGGGCGAGCGTACAATTCGAGCCGGATTCGCACCCCGAAAAGGATACACGACGACACTGACGAAACGACGAGCGTGATCAGGAGCGTGGCTCGTTACGAAAGAACGCGGGGCTGTGCGTGTCATCATCGATCGATACTTCGATACGCACAGCGCGACGCGTTCGGCGAACGGACGCAGAAACGCGAGTCGCGCGATCAAACGGCAAGAAAGGCGATCTTTTCTTTTTTTTCTTCTCCTCCCTTTTTATTTCCCCGCAGCATTCCTGTTATGTGAGTCACTCTCGCCGCTTCTCGACTCGCGACGCCCGTTCAATTTCGCGCGACGGCCGCCGGTTCAGCGTCGAGATACAAAGGAGAGAAATCATTATCCTCCTTTTTTTCTTTCTCTTCCCGCCCTCGGCAAGAAAACGTTTTTTATCCGGGCGCGTTAACGCAGCGCACCACCTACGGCGGAGTGAGCAGGTAAGTGAAGGAACGGGAGAACGTGTATGTGTGTGTCGTGCGCGAGAATGCAACGCTACGGCGTCGTATCACCTTAAACGCGAAAGTTTCCCACGTGCGTAACGCGGTGCGCGAGCCACGGGGTTTAGATTTCTGTGTGTGGGGAGGGGGGAGAGGGGGGAGGAGAAGACGGAACGAATACGGGATCCCGCGATAACGTGCGCAAACCCAAACGGAAACATACACACGCGGTGCGAGTGTAATCTTATAGGTACTGGGCGGATAAGAATTACAGATTACCGGCGGGAAGTGTGCGATAACTCACTCACGCACGCACGCACGCGTATACGAAAATCGAACGCGTTATCCGCGCGGTATTTTCTGGAGAACGAGCACGGTAACAGTCACGTGTTTGTAATAGTGATGCGTTAGTCATCCTCCCGATATCGTCCCGGTGATACCGTGAATACTGGAAAGACGCTTATCCGAGAATGATACGTCGAAAAGGACGCGGTTCCGAGGCCCGATGATGTCGCACGGCAGATAATAAATGACAATACGCCGATGTTACGTGGAAATCATGCGACACGCAGCACCGTTTCGCGGAGATCAAGTCCGCCGCCGCGTAACGTCCCGTCCCGCTCGTCGCTTTCCACTCCGTCATCCTGACGCCCGACTCGTTAAACGCGATCTTTTTGTCACGCTCCGTTGTCCTGCGACGTACGCTCGTTTAATTGAAATAACGTTCTCGGTATATACACGTGGAAATCTGTCGCGGGGAGAGGCGGTATTTTTTACTTCACCGCCTCGCCGAGAGAGATACGGTCAACGGATATTGTCAGCAACTTTCTTTCTCCCCCGCTTTTTCATTTTTGTTTTTTTTTTCTTCTCTTTCTTTTTGTCACCGACGCAGCGTTATTTGCACCGGGACGCGTCCCGACGCCTACGCGTTAATTTAAAATACCACGGAAAAGGTCGTCACGCTATACAGCGAAATCGATAATTGACGAAACGCGTGCCACGGGGACACACACACACACAGGCACACGCGCGCGCACGAAGGAGAGCATAACCGGCGAATACCAGACACCCGGGCGAAGTTATTCCCGCGCGGCGTCGCGACGGATAATAATTGCGCGAGAAGACGCAGCGGCGAGCGAGAATGGAGGAATTCTTAGGATACTCGCCTTGTAAACTTGGCCGTATGTTCCATTGCCGACCACTTCTATCAGCTCGAAGATTCCAGCCGGTTCCTGAAAGCAACACGAAGCGGTTAGAGTAACGTGCTACGTGAGAGTATATCATCACGACAAACGATGTCGTGACAAACAAGTACGAGGTAAAAAAAAAGAAAGTAGTCTTGAATCAACGATAGATATTTTCGCATATAAGCAAGAATATTATATTCTTGGAAGATTTTTGGCCTTGAATTAAGTAAGCGAGGAATATGATCGATACAAGTTCAATCAAATCAAGACTAAAGATCTTCTGAGAAGGTTACAATATTTTTGCTTGTGCATGAGAATATCTATCATTGATTTTACTGATTCTTTTTCCGTGTGGGAAACATTCGTGCAAAACACTTGAGATTTGCGGTAAAACGTGTCGAAACTGTACGTTGTGTCATGCGCGTGTTACGTATAGTTTTGAAGTATCGGGAAACTCGCTTTTTCCAATTTTCCACGGATTTCTTCGGCTTCGGTCTTAAAAAGAGAAGAAGAAGGGAAAAATTCATTTTGAAAAACTCATCTCGTTGCGCTAGATTAAAACTTGCCACGTTTACTTTTTTTCGTAAAAACTATAAGAAACTATAAAGATATCCGAGGAAAAATGGGGGAAAACGATTTTTCCGAAACTTGGCGATCACACGTGATTTTATAGTAATTACGTAAATCGGTTCGCCGCAGTTTTTCCTTTCTTCATTTCGGTCACGACGATGTGGGAGATCGCGCTGCTTACCTCGCAACGACCCGCGCGCGTCGACGCGATTTAATTCACTTTCTCCGTCGAGTAAACACAATCACTCCGAGATCTTTCTCGTAAACAGAGATCACAAGCGAAGCAAGGTATAAAATGGCTAAAATCTCGGCGACAAATTCGAAACGCTACAACCCGGCTTCGAAATCTGGCAGTCGGCCATTTTATACTACACCGAACTAACGTGTGTGAAATTGGAGTCAGAGACATAAAAATCTGTAACAAGATGGAGCGTGATAATCCGGGGAAATGTCGCTAAATCGAACAAATCTCGGGAGAGAACCACCACGTTCGTTTACGTACGTTCATTGTTCACGTGCGAACCGAAGTTAGCTACCTTCAATATGGCCGATTACCCCATCTTTCCCCCTTTTCTCCTTCGATAATTCAAGCTTCGATTGTTTCGTTTAACCGAAAGGTTATCTTCGTGCATTCACCGTAAATACTGCAAATTTGTAATTCACGTCTTACGTGTATTATAGATTTTCAATGCCGACAGCGAATAATAGCGCGCGGCTGGACTATTCCGTGCTCTTCGTGAAGCTGCAATAATCGGTGTCGAAAAATAAAGCAGATAGTTCCGAGCCACTCCATGTTATTCACACATCCACGCACGACGATAAAGACGGCGAGAGGAGAGACACGAACGGATGATTCTACGTCCGACTATGACTAAGGAAATATTCAAAGTGACCTCGTCACGCGTGAAGTCCGCTGATACCTCATTGAAAACTGTCAACAACGCTCGTCGTGCGTTTATGCTCTTTTTCAGCTGGACTCTCTATTTTTTTTTTTTTACGCCGTACCCCGTAACTATGCCTCTCGCGTTCCGTTTCGCCGAGTCCCAAACATACAGGGTATATCTGAACTCCACCGACTCGGTCAAACTCACGGTATAGATTCTACGTGAAAAAAAAAAACAAGCGAAAAGGTCTTGGTAAACACATATGCCCTCGGACGCTCAGTTTCTGAGATACACAGCTGCCGCAATCTTAACTTTGAAAAACATATTTCACTCGTTAAATCGTCTCCTGCAAGTAACTAGACATACACACACACACACAGTTATAAAAATCATTCAAAATGCCTCCCTTATCAATGCACAATTGTGGCATCTGTGGAGTAGAAACGCGCGTTTTTTTTTTATTATTATTTTCTTGACGATTCTTCGACTGATATTCAGAAATATCAAAATTGATAGGTATTATCTTCGAAAACACGTAAAAAAGACCGTTATATGCGACATTTTTAATCCGCTTATCGCGATACATTTTCTCTCATCATTATTGCAATCTTCCGAAGGTTGTGTCTCAGAAACCAAGCTTTTGCCGATATATGTTTACCCAGACGACTTTGTCGCTTTATTCTTCAACCTGGAATCTGAACCTGGAAACCTCTGAATTTGTCAGTGAGTGCAGATAGGTCGGTAGGGTTCAGACCCTGCGTACCCGATTCGATCCAACTGGAAAAACGCGTGGAGAGCGCTGAACAGTATCGAATGGAGCTCCGTATGAATGCTGCGAATAGCGCATGAATGGCTCCGATGCGCCTCGCATTCACAGAGCGACCTCGTAACACACGAGACTCGCCGATTCTCGTCATTCTTTGGCAAAATACAACGGTGTCCGTGCGCCGACGAACGCACAAAACGGGCGGGACACGTCGCACGAATACCGCGTGGAAATCGACGCGCGTTCGAGCGTGACCGGGCACCGGACCCATTTTTTTTTGTGTACGTCGCGTGTACGAACGTGTCGCGATCGCGCGACGTAATAACGCGAAAAGATGATAGAGAGAGATAGAAAAAGAAAAGAGATGGAAGAAGGAAGAAACGTGAAGGAAAGCGCTTCCTTCCATTTTCCCCCGCCGTTATCACCATCGTCGTCGGTTTTCGCGAGGTTAATCACCACGTATAAGACGCGCGTGACAGGCACGACGCAGGCGGGTCCAGGCGGGTCCAGGCGAAAGCCGNCGGCGGCGCCGCGCAGCGCTGCGCCGACGCGCTGCACGCGCGCGATCGCTTCCGCTCGCGAGGCGTGTTCGCAGATGCGTGTAATTCGAGTGTATTTACATACCTTCAGAGCGTTCAGGTCAATGTCGTCGAGCGAGCAGTTGACGCTCGGTGCCAAATTATGCGCCATCTTGATACGCCACTCGCGCTCCCTCTCGCGTTGTCTCTCTTTCTGTCACTCTCTCTTTCTCTCTCCGGCAGTCTCGCTCGCTCCTCTCTCTCTCTCTCGCGTCCGCTGGAAAGCTCGCGGAGTACCGACACCGAACTCCGACGACCGAGTCCGCCGACTAGCGACCCTCGCTCGTTCGCTCGCTCTTGCTCTCTTTTCCCTCGACTGCCACCTCCTCTTCCCTGTCGCTCTCTCTCTCTCCCTCTCTTTCTCTCTCTCGCTCGGCCGTTCGTTCGCTCTCTATCCTCCTCCTTCCCTCGCGCTATCTTCTACGACTCGCTAGCTACGAGCCGGACAAAAATACAAGGGCGGAGAAAAGGGAAAAAAGTCGCGCGGCTCCTTCTCGTTGTTCACTCGTCGCACGCACCAACACACCGACGACGACGCGGACGTCGACTACGAGACGCGCCGGCGAGGCATCCACTGAGCCGCGAAACCGACCGACCGATCGACTACGCGTTCGCCGACTACTACTACACGACAAAACACTTGAGCGACCGCGGCGATGCGACGCGCGACGACGATCCGCAGGGAGGAGACACACGCGGAGCGGGCGCGGTGACGGCGCGGCACATGGCCGCGCGCGAACACACCTATTGAGAGAGTCGTCCAGCGCCGAGCCGAGGGAGATCCTCGAGAGTATGCCGGAGAAGCGCGGCCGTCTAGCGGTCAGACTCGCGAGCTGCGTCGCGCCTCCATCGTCACCTCTACGGGCTTTTTCCACGCGAACGCGAGAAGGGTGCGCCGAGTTGCGCGAGATAGCGCGTCGTCGTGTTCTCCCTCTCTCTCTTCCTCCCTCTCTCTCCTGGCCGAGAAGGGAGACGATGCCCGGACGCGCAGCGCCTAGCGCTGGATCACTGTACCGTCATAACGGATGCGGGAAGGAATCGCGAGCCGAGTCGAGACAAGCCGAGCTGAGCCGAGCCGAGCCCACACGCCACGACGTGTTCCCTATCCCGTCTCTCTTTCTCTCTCGCGCCGTCGACGAGACTGCACCGCGCGCGCACTGTGCACCACTACCACGGATCGCGCATGCCTCTTGCCCTTTCTTTCCCTCCTTCACTCTTTCTCTGTCATTACTTTAACACATTGCGGACCAGACATTTTATTGCTAACCGTACCCAGTGGCCGGGTATGTTTTTGCGTCAAATATTTTTTAATTAGTGATGATTTGTTGGTAGTTAAAAATCATTGTCACGTGAAATATTCATTTTCAACAACTTAAAAAATGAATGATTTTTAAATATTTTCATTAAGTAAAAATTTGTACAAACTAAAAATTTTTCAAAGTATGATATTTAGTAAAACATGTAACTAAGTGAAGTGGAACACTACAAAGCTTGCAAACGTAGCGAGTTTCACTTCTTTTTCCGTTGATTTTGCACACTTTGCAACGTTTTGTCGGAAATTTCTTGTTTTTTGAAGGCGGAAGTTGCACTGGGATGTGTTGTTGTATACTATCTGACAACTTTTGCGGATGATCTTTACGTGGAGTTCTTTTAGCAATATTTGAAGGGCCTGGTACACCTCTTTCTAAATCTGTCGACTCTGTTGTTTTTTCAGTACTAAGCCAATTTCTTGCCACCTCGAGAAGAAAATCTTTGTATCTTATATTACTTTGAGGATTCAGCGTTTGGTAAATTCGAAATGAATTAAAAAGACCACAGTTAATCAAATAAAGTACTACCTTTTTTGTCCACTTTACTGTTTTTCTGAGAATACTATTATAGGAAAGATATTGGTCAGCGAGGTCGACGCCCTTCATATTCATGTTGTATTGGTGGACACATACCGGCTTCTTTATTTCTTCTCCAGTATTCCTAGATTTCTTCCCTGTTCTGCAATATGAACTGTCATGAATGGTTGATACCATTCTCACTTCTCTTTTGTCCTTCCAAATTAAAAGTAGAATGTCACCATTTCTTCGGAAAGCTATTTCACCTTTTTTTAGACCACATGCCTCATCTTTTAGACATTGTGGTAAGCCTCTGTTTTGTCGAATTGTTCCACACATTCTGGTTTTATGTTCCAGCAATGTTTTCGCAATGGAGGTACTATTATAATAATTATCCTGATACACGTGGTGCCACAAATCAAGATATGGATCAAGTACAGATAAAATAGTTTCGTTCAGTTTTTTTTTCTCAGCAGTATAAATTTCAAAATTACAAATATATCCCGTATCACTTTCAGATAGAATTCTCACAAGTAAACCATATTTGACAATTTTTCCACGATTATATGTCCGAAAAACGAAACGCCCTCTCCATGGAATGACGCCCTCGTCTAACGACAACTGTTGCTTGGGTTTGTACACTGTATTGAATTTCTGCACCAGGTATTCAAGTACTGGTTGAATTTTAAAAAGTCTACTTGAAGACTGGTCCATCTTACTATTATCATTAAAGTGCCAAAATTTCCATATCTGTTCAAATCTATTTCGACTCATTGTTTGTGGAAAAACCGGAACTGTTAAAAGTGGATCTGTTGACCAATATTCTTTCCAATTCCCCTTTTGTGTACGTCCCATTAAAATTATAAGAGCTAAAAATGTTTTAAATTCTGTTGGACTGACAGGAGACCATTTCAAAGATTTGATAAGTTTACGTTGTTTTTTTGATGTTTGACTATAATATACGGACGACTGATAGCTAAACATTTCAAATAAATCATCACCCAGTATTAATTTTACTACCTCCGGGATACTATCTGGCTTTGGTGGCGGAACTGCAATGCCCCAATCACCTTCGAAGTCTTCCAAGCTCGGTTGAAAATCCTCGGTTGACCAATTATTACTATCCAAATTTACCGGTATAACTCTATCAGATAAGCTATTTCTTAAATGATCATTTATCTCGGACTCAGAATCGCTTGAAATTAACACCTTCCTTCTGGCCCGTATAACAATCTCACTGTCTGCACTTTCATCGCCATCAGAATTGCAATTATTCTCACTGTCTCTGTCACTATCCATTTTCCTTAAAACCCTTTCCCGTTTTTTTACAGGAATCATAACTTCAGTAGTATCTTGAAAGTCATCATCGTCCTCACAAATATTCATATTTTCGTCATCACTTGATATATCCGATAAACTGTCCGCAAATATTTCTGTAATATTGTTAATCGTTTTGTCGCTATCCATATTTCAGGGTTTCAAATAATTAATTCGCAATACAAATTACCAAAAACTGCCCTTGACTATCACGTAGCAACTGTGCGATATTTCGCCAACGGCCTCTAACGACGCAATATGAAAGACGAGATATCTCGTCACCGGCCCCTAACGACGAAATAGGAAAGACGAGATATCTCGTCATCCGTCCGCAATGTGTTAATACACTCTAAACTACCACTCGGCTCCCCTCGTTCGCCCCCACTCTTTCTCAGGCTCGCGTGCACTCGAGCCAACGACGTTCCGTCCACTGTTGCCTTCGGCCGTCTGCCCGTCTTTGTGTCCGCGCGTCGCACGACTGCACACCATTATCTGACGTCATTCGCTCTTGGGCTAAACCAAGATGGCGACGCGGCGATAGTGTTCAGTCGACCACCGCGCTCGCGACATCTAGCGTCCAGACTGCGCTCATACGTCGTTTGCGAGTGGATACACAATTGACGGTCGATAAATTCGGCGCTTACCGTATCTTCGTAGGAAAAGCTGTGTTACCCTTCGGTTTCTGTGACGATTTCTAAATCGATTTTATTCTGTTTACATATTCTGTGCGGAAGAGAATTCATTCAAAAGAAAATTCTTTCAAATAATTTTATATGAATTTGGTAGGTAATTCAATGACAGCTACCGCAGGATGAAACTCAGAATCGAATTCTTAAATTCTCAACTATTGACTCAATATTAGATTGCTATGCAACGAGAGATAAAGGGTTAAAATTAAATTACATTTGGCACTTTTTGTTTAACAGTAACATGGTGAGCTATTATAAATTACAATTATAAGATCTATCAGCGATTGTTACCTAAGGTGTCTACTCCAATCCGAAAAAAGTTCCTTGAGAATTCTCCGATCTCCCAAGCAATTTGCTAAAATTTTAGATAAAATGAAAATAATGTATCTTATAAATGAATATATATTTATCGTGCAGTCCTTAATATTTTCTATACATGTAAGTTTAAAAATATAATCTAATATAAATCATAAAATAAAATTAACAATCATTCGAGTTTAAATGATTAAATTTGAAAAATTGAAAGCAATTGTAAAGGCTCTAAAAAATAAATATTTTATATCGCATAAAATCTCAAAATTTTTTCAAAAGTAACAAAAAAATTTAACAAATAAGTTTAACAAGTTTAACAAAAAAATTATGCAATATATAACTAATGCAAAATACAACTTTTATAAGTCTATTGAAATAAATATCTGTCTTAAACAAAATTGCACTTAATCCAAATTCGTTGACTTCAATATCGAATATCGGATTAATCATCAAATCAATATGCTAAACATCAAAGCAATATAATTAAACATTTAAATTATATACGTAGATATAGAACAAAAGATAATCTATTATAAACATAAAAAAGTGTTAATATTTAAATAGGCTCGGCTCCCTCCGCTAGCCGTAATAGTTTTGTGACGTCATAGGCGAGAAATGATATGCAGTAAGTTTCTCGCGTTATATAACTTTATTTTTTAATTTTCCCTAGATAACAATGATTTCGTAATCTTGAGACCTGTAAAATATGCAGAAAGCTAAGATATCTGGCCAATGTCAAGTAAAATTGCAAATTACTTCTTGAAGAAACGGGTCATCTTTCAGTCATATTCATGTGGCCATGATAGCTGAGATGGCTGAAAAATGATCCGTTATTTCAAGAATTATTTTGCGATTCTACATGACACATCGGCCAGGTATTTCAGTTTTCTGCACATTTTTACAAGTTTCAAGGTCACGAAATCATTGTGTCTTCCAACGGAAAAAAAAATTAATAGAACTATATAACGCAAGGAATTTTATATATATTACTTCCCGCCTATGACGTCACAAAACCAATTTAGCTAACGGTGGGAGCCGAGCCTTAAACAAAAACTTAAAAACAACCTTAAATGTGCATATATATACAGAATATTAATAAGTTCGTGCCTACGATTTATATAGCACGTTATTCCTTATTATTTAAAATTAATTAAAAATCATATCCAAAGATCTTAAACTATTTTTTTCTATGATTCTTAATGGAAAAAATATTAAACAAAATTTTACTAACCAAACAATATTTGTCTACGGACAACGCGACAATCTGGCCTGCAGACAAATGTCTATTTAAAATTCCCCGATTTTCAATCAAATTCCCTGAGAATTCTCTGATATTTTCAGGCATAAGTTCCTTAAGAATTCCAAGTTTCCCAGGTAGTAGACACTTGCTATCGCACTAAGCTCGTCAATAACCATCGTAGATGAGAGCTAAATTTCACTATATATATTTTTTACATTATATATATATATATGTATATATATGTAGATGTAGATGTTTTTTTTTCAAGTTAAAGTTTTAATAATTTATTCAGCACAACGCCGCCAACTTCCGAACGGTACTTAAATCACGCAGCAGCATCTGCACTGTTTGTTTGAGACGCGACTGAGCGTTTGGACTTGGAACAAGTTCTTCCACATCCATCGCTTCCAGAGCTAACATGGAACAAAATGTACAATAAATATCCTAACAAACCTTAGACATACGATATTCCTATTTAATGCCTTTTTGATTGCATTACCACAAACTTGCGCATCTATTGACTGCAATCTCGACTCAATGTGACACTGGAAATGTTCGATGTGTTCCAACAATCTCATTCGACACTCAGATGGATCGATTGGCGCTTCAGGTTCCGGTATGAAAGGTTGTAAAGGTGTGGCGATTTCGTTCTCGACATTAACCATACCAGATTCTTGTTGAGCGTTATTAATGAGCGAGCTCGAACTCAGATTTTCAGACACTGAGTTATCGATCATGCTTTTTTCAGTTAGCAAACCTACACAATTAAATTGAAAAAGTAACAGAGAATTTTTTTGCTATCTCTTTGCTAACTCTTGATCGTTAAACACCTATATTCTCCATGTTAATCCTAGATATACACACTGGGTCCCCGGGACCTCGACGCAACTTTACTAAATCAAGATTTCTTCGTGTTTCTAGACTTTTCTTTCTTTTTAATCCGTACATCTCGGAGCTCCATAAATCTATCGACTTTTATAAATTATGGGCCTGTTCCTTAATCGATTCTCTATCGATTGAAAAAAAAAACAAATAAAGTACGTAGAGTAAGAAAAGAAGTGTGTATATCTAGAGTTAAAGCTCCTTCGCTGCAATTGTCTTGGTTGATGGCATCAGACGCGAGAAAACATACCCACAATTCTTGCGAAATATGTCGAAGTAAATACGTCCATAAAATGATGCTTATACTCGATCGAGCATATTTTTAAGATCTTCCGAAAACACTTTTTTTGCCTTAAGGCTCGGTTCTCTCGGACAGCCGTATCAATTTTATGACGTCATAGGCCAGATATAACATGTAGTAAGTTTTTTGCGCATTTAGATTTGTTTTTTAGTTTTCGCTGAGAGACATAGTTTCGTAAGCTTGAAACCTGTAAAAAATGTAGCAAACTGAGGTGGTCTGTCCGATGTGTCACGTAGAATCTTAAAATAATCCTTGAAATAACGGATCATTTTTCAACCATACTCAGACGGCCGTAATATTATTTTGTGATTCCGCGATTCCATATCGGGCAGATACCTCAGTTTGCCGCATATTTTACATGTTTTAAGATTATGAAACCATTTTTTCAGAGAAAACTGAAAAATAAAGCTATATACCGCGAAAAAAACTTACTGCACGTTATTTAACTAACTGCACGTTAAAGTAGAAGGAAGGTTTTCGAAATATTTTATAAGTATACTCAATCGATTATAATCATTATTTTCAATCAATTCAGATTTTTGTATTCGCAAGAGAATTTTAGGCATACGTTTACTCATTTGCGATGTCATTAATCAAGAAGGCTGCGGTGAAAAAACAGAAGTTTCGATAACGTACCAATATTCTCTGTTTTAATATCTGCATCAATGCTCCTTTGTTTCACGTCGGAATTGCTACTCGTTAACGTGTCCAAAAGTATATGACTATCCTTTGAATTGATTAAACTTTCCCTTTTACCGGTGACTCTGGATTCGTCGGAATGTGTGCTGTCTTCTTCCAATATTTTCATCAATTCCGAGTCCGAGGCGATCGACTTTTCGTCTTGATCATCTTTCAGAGACAATTTAGTTTCTATCTTTGGCTCAATACGTCGCAAACTCTCAGAACCTATGTCGATAGAATCCGCACCTAATTTCGTTATTTCCATTATTGGTATCGGTTCGATGTCTACCTTTGGTATATCCGTCTTCTCCCAATTTTTAGCCCAAAGATACAGTTTGGGATGATCCTTCTGTCTATATATACATTGAGAAATTATTTGCCACCATATAGGTAAGTGTTTCTCCGAAAGCGTTTGTGTATAACACTTACTGAGCTACATTGATCTTCACACGCAGGCTATGAAGAATTTGCTGAATTTGCAGGAGCGCACCGACCAAGTCGTAAGACCGTTTCAACATCGCGGTCCTTTGGTTTATCATATACTGATCGCGAGTGCGATTAGGTAAACTACAAAAGTCCAAGAACCGATTAAACATTGTATATTCTTAATAAATTACAAATTATATACATAAATTACATAAAGTTTCTGAATTAATAAATTACCTTGGTAATTTTCCTTCCTTGATCCAGTCTTGATCGTGAAAGTACTTTTTCGATGGCCTTTGACGATACGGATGTTGACATATGTAACAGATATATTTTTCGGGAACGTCTTTCTCCCTTTCGATCGCATTGCAGTGACCGTGTTGCCAGCAGAGACAGAGATCGCACTGTATCATCAGACCGTCCTCTTCCATAAAACCACACGTGCAGTTTATTATTTCCTCTCTCCGAAGTTGTTCCACTTTTACCATCTCACCGTTGATCATCATCATCACTCCTTCGCTTTCTAATAAGTCAATAAAGGTTCATGTTGAAAAAAAAATTATCCGGCAGACATCTCGTATAAGTATATATCGATGAGATTGTGGTGACAGATATTCGTTAACTAGGTGTGAGTACTTTCCGTGAGTATACAAAGTATAGCATATAAACGCAAGGAAAATAAGTGTTATCTGCATATAAAATTAGGAGGCAAAGTCAATAAAAAGATAAAAAAAATCAACCATGTACCTTCTGCATCATTATTAATATCAGTTTTGATAGTATCCCCTTTTAAGGGATCGCCTTTTTCAATGCGAGAATCATTTAGTTGACCTGAAGAGAACAAGAACAGAAATAATACAAAGTATTGCATAATACAATAAAGTATTTCAAGTATATTTGATTATTATGAAACATATTACTTAAAGAAAAATCCATTTATCAAGCTGTGTTGAATTTGAAAAAAAAGAAATGCATCTGAACCAAAACAGTTGCACACTAAGAATGTATGTGTGCACGACGAAATCGTTCGCACTTACTATTTTGACTATTTTCATCGCTCTTGGAGTCGGATTTTCTACGGCTATATCTGTACATGAGTGCCGTCGGCCCCTCAACATCCAAAGCGCTATCATCTAAGTCACCGAAACTATCGATGAGATCTGACATGCCTATGCAGTAACACACAGAGCATATTATATTGCACTTAATCTAGCTACAAATTAGTAGAACAATAGAATAGTTATATCAAAAGAGTCAGGATTTTCGTTTTAAGGCAATATCTTCTCGAGACTTTTTTAACACACTCAGACTATAGGCTCAGTTATGCAAGTCGTAAACCATTGACTTATGCCGGAACCGTAAAAGAAAAAAAAAAAAAGAAAAAAAAACAATCACAGTCGAATTATAGAAGAATAATTGATTGTGATTCATCAATTTCTTATGGTCCCGGTATAAAGTAACAGTTTACGACTGCATAAATGGGCCTTAAGTGTTAGTCTCTTGATGAATATGAAAGAGATTCTTACCATGTCGTTTCTTTCCTTTGGCCGATAAGTGCATGTTATACTCGGATTGCCTCTTCTTCGAACCTTTCGTACGTTCGACGTGCATCATCTCATCCACAGGTTTCGCCCTGTCGATTTTCTGCGACTCCGACGTTGCGGGTGGCCTCACAGGTAACAAAGTTTTAATGCCAACTTGTGTTTTCTCTTCCTTGACTTTCATGTCGAATAATGTGGTAGGAGACATAGCGCCGGTATTCTCCCTTTTCTTCTCGACGTCGTCGTCTACCTCCATGCTGTGAATGGATATCGGAGACATCGTTTCGATCTTCATATCGTCCTTCTGCAAGTCATTGCACTTTTCCGACTGATCCATTTCCTCTTCCAATTCCGGTATCAATGGAACTGATACCGAAGGAGATGCGGGCTGCACGGTGTTCAATACTGGCTGCAATAAATTGCTGGATGAAGGCTTGTCCGGGAGAGATCTCTTCTTTCCGAGTTTGTTAATCTTCTCTAGGAAAGGCGTCGACTTTTTCGGGATAATGTCTTCTATAGATTCTCCAATTGTTCTTGCGTAAGCCAAATCTTCAACTTTTGGTGTAGACCCCAAAAACTTGGAGTATTCTGGATGATAGTGTTTGATGTGCATTTGCAATAAATTTTCCTTTCGGAAATTCTTATTGCATCCCTCCTTGGGACACTTGTAAGCGCTATCTTCCATTTCCACACGAAGTCCACCGATGAAAACGGCTGTTTTAAAATGTCATTCAAATATTCGTAAGGTGCCTTTGTGCTTTTATTACGCAGATATATAAAAAAAGAACCAATAATTAAATTTTACATGATTACATAAAAATATATATCTTTAGATACTTACAATAGTTCACTTCTGATGAATTAGTATAATGTAAAAGAGACATAATGAACGATTAAAATGTGATGAGGATTCAAGATATAGTGTCATACAGAAAACTTACCGCCATCCGCAGCAGATGTAGTAGGCGTCGAAACAACAGGCGGAGTATCGAGAGAACTCGCAGTAATCACTGTACTTTCAGGTGTGGATAACGCTTTCGTTTTGGGCAACAAGGTTTTGATCTTCTTCGGTGCCTCCGGTGTGACCTCCTGCTTGACGCGATGCGCGTTGTTCCGTTTCTTACGATGTATGCAGAAATCAAATTTTTCAGGGTCGAAATCCAACTGTCCTTGGTTTTCCATAAATATTCGGATGTCGTTCCTAGATCGGAATTTCTTCCCCGTCTGCTTGCTTTACGACAGAAACGTAATTATTAACGAATTGTATGTAGTTGTTCAGTCATAATTTAAAACAAAATATCATTGTATCTTACTGTATGAACAGCACATCCCATTTCCCTGCTGATGTACCAGCTTTCCTTTGCGTAAAGTGCTTTTCCCAACCGGGTGGCAATCTCTTGTCCGATATGATTATAGATCGACGTGGTCCTAAAAATAAAAAATTAAACTCTAACATCAATTCTTAATATTACATAAAAAAAGAAAATGTAAGAAATCATAAAAAAGCAAAAGGAAACGAAAGTAAAAAGATAATGTGCTTAATATTGAACTAATAACTATAATTAAATACAGTTGACGTTATAAGAACTTACCATCGTTACCATCTACAATATAAGATTCTGTTCCTTGTGGTTCTCCGTCAATCCATTCAGGACCAACGTCTTCTTCATGATCCGTATCAATTTTGGGCAATTCCTTCTTGCTTTTCTTTGAGTATGATTTGATCTTCGCAAAATTGGTGTCAAATCCTTTCAACAAATTTGTGTCGGGTTCGAAACAAGGACCGTACATTGTACCGTCCAGCTCGATCTTAGGTTCTATGATGCTTTCTGTGCTCTCCTTAACAACAGTTTCCACTTTCTTTGGTGTTTTGTCAGTATCAGTTTTTATACGCTTCCTAGAGTTAGTATGAAATAACTCCATAATTGTATGTTTCCGTTTTTTGTCTCTTCTTTCCTGTTTGCTGCCAATATATCCATCCAGTTCATTCAATTGCTGCATTCAAATGGAACAAAGCAAATAATTTATAATAATAACATTAGCAAACAGAATGATATCTTATGTGACATATATGTAAGTATCCCAGTTTAAAAATTCTACTTGCAACAGCTTGTTCTAAGTTTTCACTATAATATCAATCTTTGTGGTTTGCTGAGATAACATTTGAGGAGTAATGCAAAGTAATACTAAATACAAGAAGAAAAAAAGTATCGTTCAATTCTACAAACTCAGATAAAATTTTCTTACTTGCAGTTACAGGGAAATAACAACATAACCTCAACCTACGTATCCGTACCTTAGTCGGAGTTGCAGCGATTTTGGTCATTTTCGACGACTTGACGACCTTCCCGTATCCATCATCGAACAATACATCGTATCTATCTGCGAAGAAGATTCACTTGGATGTACTTTTGAGGTGCTTCAGCCCCATCAAGATAAAAAAGTTAGGCATATATATAACCCTCTCTCCTTAGGTGTAAACGTCAAACAGTTATCTACGAACGCAGTCCGTCTCTTTCCCGCTTCCAGTTAAGGTTAGGTCCTTACCATTAGTCAAGACCGCATTCACTTTGGCTGGATATTTCCTACCGTCCGCCCACGTGGCGAGTATCCTTTCTCCCACTGAAAACTCCCTCACTTTTGTTTCCCTGGAGGTGCGAAATCTACGCATTATGCGCGGGTCGAATGTATTATTATTAGAATTAAATGAAAACGTGAAAACCTCAAGAGAAATGTCTCAAGATGTGTCTCACTTTTTTTGTTTAAATAACATCGACTCGTAGTTCGTTTGTCAATCGCGACGCACAAAAATACACTGAGCCGAATTTGAAAAAAAAATTGGTCCAGCGATGTTCCGGTGAAAAAATTATTCTAACGTGACTTTACATATATATGTATATGTATATAATAGTAGATATATTTTAATGAAAATAATTGATAAAATAAACATCGCTCACTCCTGTAAATTCTCATATACGTGAAAGTTGAATGTGTGCAATTAATACCGCGGAACTCAAAAAAATTTACAGAGAAAACTTCTTGTAACTTTTTATCTATAACAATAATTTATACTTTTATTTTTACTATATATTTATGCACAACACAAAAGTAAGATTCAATATATGTACCAAAAACCGAGAATCTTTTTATTTGGATTCCATCATTTGAAGTATTCAGCGGTGGACCAATATTTACTCTCTCATCTTCACTGATGTAATAAGCACAGGGTCTTAGGTAATCTTCACACTTAATGAAGATTCAAGATCACTCTCTTGTTAATCGGGTTGGATTAAAGAAATACTACAATATCATGAGTCTTTCTACCACTACGCAGGTATTGTAATTTTTCGTCTATTCACTAACACAATTTTCACTTACGGAGATGGTGGGATCCAAGTTTGTTCGCTTTAAAGAAAGATATAAAACAGTTTTATCAAGATAAAATCTTTAATTCTGGGAGCAACGTAGAGCAACGTAGCAATGTAGCAAGGTAGTGATGTAGCGATGTAGCAATTCAAGTAGCCTAAGTACTAATCACTGATATGTCATGATATTTCTGATAATTAGAACGCTCACTTACTTTGGCAGAGATTGTAATTCACGAAGCCTGGAACTATCCATTGGTATCCATTCGTCGTACCTCGAACTCCATTTATCAAAATGTACTAGAACTTCCCTTTCATCCCAGTCAGCTTCCACCACTTTTGCACAATACCTGCAAGTATGGATCAATATATTTGACTCTATCCCAACAATATAGTTCAACTTTCAAATGTACAGTTTTCTCCATGTATAATTCACACTTAAAAGTTTCATATCACATAACTCGTCACACGTGCTTTATAAAATTGTGTTAAAATTACTTTCAACAATACTTGCCACTTCTCACTAAAGTCTTTAGCTTCCAATTTGGCACCGGGATAAAACTTTAATCCGTCTCTACTTAAAACTTTTGGTTTTATTTCCTCCACTTTATCGAACTCCTTGTCATCGGATAATTTAATGTCCTTCAATTCATCCTTTATCGTTAGATCTTTGGCGACAGTTTTCATTGTTCCTGGCTCGACGATACCAAGCTGCACGGCTACCGTGTTCACTTTACTATCTGAATTTTCCACCGACTTTTCTTTCACCGTTGTCACAGTTTCTTCCTTCGGGGTCGTCATTTTGTACGCGGCGTCTACCAATTCCACGTTATCCAGAGGATTCAAGGAATCTGCGGAAGATTCAGGCCTGGAATAACAAGGCTCACCGCAACTGTCAGATTTAGGCGTCCTCGCTTCGGACAATGACGGTGAGATAGAATGTTCCAGATTCAGTATCTCTGAGTTGATCAGGTCCAGGTCTTCCTGTGCATATGATGTCGAAGATTTCACTGACATAATCACAGGATCTGAAAAGAAGGAAAACAATCATCATTAGTTCGGCTGACACATGCGTGACGTTTAAATACAATCCTTATTCACAACTTATCACATATATCGTGTATCAAACTCGCGAAAATACAATAAAATTCATCAACCACGTCTTAAATAAAATCGCAACATCCGAAATATCCTCCGTTCGGTGTGTACAAGAAGCGAGCTCTCAATTCCGGTGACTTACGATGCTGGAAGTCGGCGAAGAAAAATACAGATCATGCGTAAATATGTAAAGTAAACCGAGGAAAGGTCGCGCACACCCGACGGGAAGAACGGAGCGGCACTTTGCCGCGCTGCGGCTCGCGCCGCTCTTATCGGCGAACAATCGACTGTCACGGCAGCGCGAACGTCGCTGACCGTTCGGCACATTCTCGCGAGCATCTGTCAGCACCGCCGGCGACAACCACATCGTCGTAGACGCGTTCTCGTGGAAAAAATGACGCGCGCACGCACAGGCATGACCGGCGCGCGGTGCGCCATGACACGACTCGACGAAGCCGGAGTACGCTACGGAGGGAGGGAGCGAGGGAGGAGGACGCAGCGGGAATACATTGGAGCGGCGAAAGAGAGAGAGAGAGAGAGACAGGGAGAGAAGAAGGGGACAGAGGCAAGGGAACGGAAAGGAAGACAGCGTGAGGCAAGAGAGAGGAGGTGCAGGAGGAGGGAGAGAAGGAGCAAAGCGAAGAAGAAAGAGGATACGCGAGGGGCGACTACGTTGCGCTCCACGCCTGTGACAACGTCCATTTCCCTCTCGCGGCACGAGGTGGTCGGTTGATCGTCGGTGCGCGCGCGATCGCCCTGGTAGACGTACCTGGATGATTGTCATAGTCGGCGAAGACGGTGGGTACGCTGCCACGCTTCAGCAGGAACTTGTGGCCCCGCGCGGCGGCTTCGTAATCGGCGCGTTTGAAATGCCGATGGCAGACTACCTGGCCCGGCGTCGGCTTGAAGCTCGCCTCGAATCCGCCGCTGGCCAACCACCTGTCCCTCAACGCGGCGTCCTTGGGGAACTTGTGAAGCGGCAGTCCTTTGGCGCGCGCCTCCCGCACGTCCGCCTCGCAGCTACGCACGCAGCATTTGCGCGCCATTCCCATCGCCCCCGCGGCCGCCGCGGTTACAGCGGCAGGCGCTCTTCTCCTCCCCTCGGCACGCGAGCGCGGTATACGCCGCCGCTGCTTCATTTACAAAACCGGCGCGCTACATAGCCAGCGTGATGTTGACGAAAACGGTGCGCGGATAACTCACGCCGAGCGCGGAAACGGACGCGGCACGAGGATGCCTCTCTCTCTCTCTCTCTCTCTCCACGAAGCTGATCACGCACGTCGTCGTCTCGTGCGGAGCCGAGGCGCTCTTCCGCTGCCGTCCCTCGCGAAACTCGAACCGTTTTCTCTCTCTTTCTTTCTTTTTCTCTCTCTCTCGCTCTCTCTCTCTCTCTCGTCCCGCGTACCAACTGTATCCACGTACAACTCCGCGCGACTATCGACTGCGACTCTCGCAGTGCGCGGTCTGCCGCCGCGGAAGCACTACCGCACCACCACGAAGGACCTGACCTCTCGGCTACGCGCGCGACACTGATCAACCGATCGATAGGGCAGCGTCGAGATTCCACCGAATTTCGGCTGGATGTATTTGTCGCCGCCGCTGCTGCCGCCGTCGACGCCGCTGCCGCTGACTCGATCGATACGGCGCCAGTATCGCCGCGGCATCGATAAGAAGGCTCGCTCCTCGGCTGCGCTCTAGCCTGCGCCCGGGGCTCGGATCTTGAATCATTCGTAACTATTCGTATACGTTGCGAGTGATATCCAATGAGCGTGCTGCTTCTACGGAATAGCTGTACGCTCATTGGATGTCACTAGTTCGCAAGTTACGTATACGAATAGTTACGAATGATTCAAGAATCGAGTTCCTAGTACGTAAGAGCTTCATGTGTTTCGATGAATATGTAAATTTCTCGAACTGGTGCAGCCAGTTCAGCTAGAAGGAACAGACCATATACGTCATATGAACACGCTTGTGCGCTCGCCCATCTATGTTGTTAATTGGTTTGTTCTTTTTAGCTGAAGCGACAGCGCACTAGTTCAAGAAATGTACGCACATTGAAGCCACGGACTTCTACATATTACTAGATCGCTAACTCCCTTACATACTATATAAAAAATTGGACCCCGAAAAGTATTTATTGCATACTACTTGTTGAGTAGGGAAGAAGAGGAGTGGTAGATAAATGTAATATGGCCGATGTCTATAACCAATCAGACATGAATGTCATCCTACTTGTTAATGATTCTGTATATATTTTTCGGAGCCATGTACTTCGTAGGAGTTAGCGGTCTAATAGTATATAGAAGTCTGCGATTCAAGCGTGAGAATCTCAAACGTATGCTTCAATGTAAATAATGTATGTAAATTTTTTTAATTAATGCAGCCAGTTCAGCTAAAAATAACAGGCCAAATGACTAATGTAAAATAATTAAATCGGTAGGCGTTTTTTTCCCCCTCTCTTATGCTAATATTTATTTCCACGGTTGGGTAAATTAACTTTTTTTTGAAGTTAAAAATTAATGGCTTGTATAATTAACTTAGTTGCGTTAAGAGTAATTTGAACAAAAACTAATGAAAAGTTTAGTTAAAATTTTTAAAGTTAAAATTTAATTATATATATATATATATATAGTTTCGCATAATTAACTTTAAACTTAACTTACCCAACTTTACCCATTTCTACGCAACTTAACTGCCTATATTGTTTAAATATGGTAAAGTTTATTTAATAACATCACAGATACAATAATTATGTACATAATTGTCTGAGAAAGCGCCAGCTGTGTTCTGACTGTACACTTCTTGCCTACCCCACTTGTCAACACTGTAAGCACTGATGAAGTCAACTAAGTTTCGGAAAAAGGTGCTTTGTTTCGTTTAAGGGCGGATATTCGACGACTTCGCGACGAGGATGTGATCTTCCCCGTTTCCGAGTTTCGAAATCGTAATTATACGTAGTCTAAAATCACCATCAGTTCTGTCCAGACACGCCCGCGCGCTTACTTCGAACTGAAAATTTGGCTAATCACCCCTCTCCTCCTCTTTCTTCCTCTTCTTCTCGTTCTTTTCTTCATTCTCAACGGCGATCCGCGGCCGTCTCGCCGCGTCTCCAAGGTGTGTATGCGTGTGTATGTATTATAGGTTGTCTTCGGACGAGGACAACTTGTCGAATACGTAAAGTTTTAGTTGAGCGTCGTGCCTCTGCGGCGGCGCGGCGGAATCGGGCTTCGCCATCTGCTGCGAGGCACATGGAGGATCTATCGTACGGGGTAACAGAGTGCGATTGAGCTCGGGCATCGAGGCAGTCGGGTCCTTCAAAGGTAACGTCACCTCTCTCAAAGAGTCCGTAGGTGAAGGAGGAAGCACCACTTTTTCGGGAGCATTTTGAATAAATATTACTCTGAAACAAACACCGAGAGTGAGATCATTTTGAGACGAGTCAAATAGCACAACTTACACCCACAATATCCAAAGAAAGAGAGAAAGAAAGAAAAAGAGGAAGAGAGACTTTTGTTTTCTAAGTAACAAGAACAATCGCCATTGTGGTAAAACACACCGCACGCAGCGTGCCTGTGTCGCATTTAGCGCACCTATTAAACGCTCGCCACTTCCTGCACAATGTAATGTACGCTTTGCATTGAATGTACATAAAAACTAATCCGCCGGTGGAGCCGATCACGACGACTATCAGTTTCGTCCAGAAGGACCAGTCGACGAAGCCGCGTCGAGCCTCCTCCACCGAACGCTCGACCAGCACGTACAACGACCACGCCACGCAGAGCGCGGCGACGGCGTGAAAAGCGACGGCGCACCATAACTTTCTCACCTCCAGCGCGGACATCTCCAGCTTCTCCCACTGCAAGTGCCATCGTACACCGTTTATTCGCGTTTACTCGGGAGTACGATGAAAAAATTAGGCAACACTCGGCAATCTCTCCGTTCTCAAAAGAGTTTTCTGCTTTTTTTTTTTTTCCAAGGGACCAAGAGGAATAAGTTACCTCGCAAAACGGCTTTGTCTTGGCATGCATAATGAACGTGAACTTGCATAATTCACAAGCGCGCGTATCCGAAGCCTTTATCCATTGCTGAAGACACGCCTGATGTACGTAGCGCAAGCTGCCGCTGCAATAACAAGGTGCCAACAAAGGGGCACCTTCCTCGCCTTCGCAATGACAAATCCTGTTTACACAAACAGATACACATACTTTTTCATATTGAAACATATATTGCGAACGCACTTCGGTTCGCTTTGCGAACGACTTGTATGTAAATAAGCGATACATATATATTACCTGCAAATATCATGGTTACTTGAGGACAATGTGCTTACTGATGAGTGACAATGGTCTGGTATAATGGTGACTACCGTGGCGTAACCCGATTCCTAAAATAACCATATTTTTATGAACTATGAGAAACGATAAGTTTAATCATCAGTGTCGTTACCTCTTACATAATTTATGCTCTCTTATAACATTGTCACAATATATATATATATATATATATATATATTTTTTTTTTTTCATTGTATAAAGATTCTTTTTTCTTTCATCCTTCTGTTTTCTTTCTCGTTTGCGGATTAAACAAACGTTTCTATAAATGTACTTGTCTCTATAAACGTACAACTGCTCTAAAGGAAATTCTTCCCATATAATAAATAAATAATAATAATAATAATAACACAGTAACAACTGTCAAAATAACATGCTATAACAATGACTGTTAAAAAAATACAATGGTTAAATAATTCACCGACATAATTGGTCTAAATTTAGGAATTTAACACTAAAGACCAATAATTATTGAGGCTCACTGATTGCTTGTGTTTTCTGAACGCAGCCAATTACAACAAAGATAAGATGTATCATAACATTGAACCGTAAAGATTTCACAATGCTGTTTTCACAACTGAGCTACAGCTGTGGTTTTACTCAAGAAACACAGTGTGTACTTCCAAATTTCACAAAGGAATTGAAGATAATCATATTGTTATTTATCTCAATCTCTCACCCGTGGTGTCCATTCTGGTAAGCCTTCCCCGCCAGCAGGGCTAGTGTTACTGGAAGGTCCAAGTGACAGAGGTGGTTGCCAGTCAGGCGGATTGACATTGATCTGATGAACCGGCATCACTCTCTAACCTCGGCGAACATACAATCACTAATGAGTAAGTTTGATTAAACACATCTTGGATGTCGGATCATCGTCCCCCCAATAGCGTCCTCAATGCCAATTGGGATAATCGTGTAACTCCGAATTCGAATCTTACGAGCGTTATTCAGCACTTAGTATCAAAATATATACAGCCTGAAATCATACACAAACGCTGTGTTTATAAATAGACGTATACAGATCTATTGTGTTCGCACGTATATGTACACTTGGAGGCTGGTGTATATCATCCCAACTTCTTTAGATAATTATGTAATAATGTGCAAACTTCTGTTTGCAACAGCGATATTCATGCAAATATATATATATATGTATATATATATATATATATATATATATATATATATATATATATATATGTGCGTATGCAGATACACGTAATATTTCTTTTACTATTTGGTACACCTGTCAAATACACCGAGATTTTCAGCGTTTGCTCAATGAATGAATTATTAGCCGATCAGGACGATTTGTGATGACATACGAGCTCGAAGTAGGGAATTAAACTCGATCATGTGGAAAACGTATCCGCGCGACACGTAACAGCGACGACACCTCGAGAGAGTCGGGTTAAAAATACCACCGATAATGAGCAGTTTCTCTCCGCGAAGAGTTGCCTCCGCGACTCATGTAAATCGAGCGATATTAAACAAATCGCTTCTGTAAACAAGTACGAGAGCGCCGAGCAGTGATAACGACTGGCACACACTGCGTCGTATTCTGCGATCCGTACCGTCTGTCAACTGATCGTCACACAGTCGCGATTCGCTTTGTGCGATGCGAATTTAGCGAGGCTGCGAGAGAAAGAAAACAAAGCACACCGACGTTGTCATCGTCGTCGCGTCGTCGTCATCGTCCGTCGTCCATCGTCGACGTTGTCACACATACGTGTTCTTACTTTTGTGTTCTCACTCGCGCGCGTCCCTTCGTCGCAGGACAAAGTCGGCAAACGTTGTACGAGACCGCCGGTCGACGGAACGTCGCTCCCGGGAGCGTTTAATTATTACTTATCGTGGAAAAAGCGGGCTCGTATCACCATTTTGACACTCCGTCCTGAGTCAATGACACACACGGCATAGCTCAACATTCGGGTCTTCTCGATGCGCGAGATCGCACGAGCGCTTTACTCGCTCGTCCCGGCACACGTAACGTTCGCACGATACCGTTCACCACGAGGACACGCCGTGACACTCGCCTCGGAACGCGAAACAACAAAACCAACGGTAGCCTTCATCGCAGCGCACTGTCCTTCCTTCCTCCGTAACAGGCTGTGTGTGTCATTTTTCTGCTACGCCGCCATAACGTAAACGTAGGCGTGTCCTGGACGCCCTCGGCAAATCGGAAGTGTGAAACGGCTCGCTTACCAACGCGGTAAGCGTCCGATGGCCAATCAACGTGCCGGTATGTGTCTATTATTTCGGTGAAAGCAGCACTGCCATTGGCTGCCCCGCTGCTCGAACCGTGTTCTATCGTCGCGTCGCCTGTTGGCGAAAGCCACAAGCCCGATCGAAGCGATTCGTCGGATAATCTTGCTGATAACAACGCGCGGAATTTCGAATCTCGAACTCGGTACCTGAGGAGACAAAGCCTCTTGGATCATTTGCGTTGAACATGAGATTCATTCGCAGGTTTTCCTTATGATATATCGTATATTTGCAGAGATTAAATACATTTTCTGTACGTAAATGCGAATAAAATTTGAAAACTTAAGGAATCTGAGGGGAAATTTAAAAATAAATCTTATGTTATAAGTTTAATCTTATCTTCTGCTTCTCCGCTAAAAGCTCTAATTGCCACAATTGTCACAAATTTTAATGTAAAAAGATAATCTTTCAATAAACACACGAATATTAATGAATGTGTTTTATACTAAGAGGCATTCCATAAATATATAATAGGAAATGTTGTTTATTTTATTGACATATTATTGACATTTTATTGGCATAAGTTAAATCTGAATTTAATGCCATACATCATTTGTAAAATTGTATTTTCATTTACACATATATATTGCGTTTATACAAGATTAGTTAAAGAAACATGTATCTGTGGTAAATTTTTTATCTTGTCTGTGACTTAACAAGAGGAGGAAATTTTTGTTCATTGAAATCATAAACAATATTCACATACATTTATATATACATACATATATATATATATATATATATATATAGCTATAATATTTAACT